TTTGTAATCAAGGACATTGAGGTTTTGACTGTGGGAGCTACTTAATTGACCAAGATCACACATCCTTAGGGGTGGAAATAAAATCGCAGCCCTCACCCTAGACTTGGAGTCTGGGCTGTTTCCCCTACACTTTTGTGCTGCTGACCTGGTGGATTGGAGTATGTTGCCCGCGGCTTCCTGTTCCTTGGAAATTCTGGTTCCAAGTTCAGCCCAGAATTGAAGGGGATGCAGATTTTCTCTTTTAAGCTTATAATTTTAGACTAGGCCTTTTTTTCTTTATATACCCCACCCCTAAATATGGGTTCCTCAGTCTCCTTTTTCCATCCCCACCTCGTTCCCAGGTAATTTCACTCAGAATGACATACCATCATCAGGAGGGACCCTAGGAAATTAAACCCTCTACAGCTGCCCTTGCTCTGTCTCCTCTTCCAACCGTGGAGAAAGGTAGCTCTCAAGAAGTCGAAAATAGGACCTGGCCCAATGCCGGACGGTTAATAAGCACTCGTCTTCCATTTCTTAAATGAAGAGTGTGGGGGGACAGTTGGCAGGGAGAGATGCTGCAAGCCGAAACACCCATGTGCTGAAGGGGGTTGTTTCAGAGGATGCCCTTGTGTTTACCTGCCATGTTTTTCTTTTCTTTTTTTCTTCTTTTTGGGTCACATATGGCAATGCTCAGGGGTTACTCCTGGCGGTACTCGGGGGACCATACAGGATGCTGGGAATCGAACTCGGGTTGGCCATGTACAAGGCAGACGCCCTACCCGCTGTGCTATCACTCCAGCCCCCCCCCACCCCCCAGCATGTTTTTCTTTACACACCAATTGATCAAGGACTAGCGGATAACAGAAAGCAGAGCGGAAAGTTGCTCAGATATATTTTGGGTTTTGTAGTTCTAGAGGCAAGAATTCAATCCCAGAACCAAGGTTGTGAGCAAGAGAGCCCTGGAGGCCCTGGAGGAAATGGTTTCTTCTTGCCATTTCTGGTAGCTATTGACGTTCTTTGATTTGTGACTAAATTGTCCCAACACCTGCCTCTATTGTCACATCAAGTCCACTGTTGTGTTTAGTGGCGAATATCTCTGCCTCTCCTTTATAAAGTCATTTGTGATAGCATTCAGGCCCCACTAGGATAATTCTGAATGTGTGTGTGTGTGTGTGTGTGTGTGTGTGTATAGGGGATGTGGGGAGAGTGAGGCTTGAACTACACCTGGGTGCCCAGTGACTATATCTGGTTTTGTGCTCATGGGTCGCTCCCACTGGGGCTGGGAGATCATATGCTGTGCCAAGGATTGGAACGAGTATTAGCCGCATGTGAGACCCTTGAGCGTCTTAACCCTCTACTCTTTGTGCGCAGGGATAATTTCCTTATCAAACATCCTAATCACTATTTTTTGTTTGTTTGTTTGGGCCACCCCAGGTAGTGCTCAGGGTTTATGCCTTGTTCTGCTTTCAGGAATCACTCCTGGTGGTGCTCTGGGGGCTTTATGGGGGGGCTAGAGATTGACCAGTGGTCGGTTGTGTGCAAGGCAAATGCCCTACCCGCTGAACTCTCGCTTCAGCCCAAAGATCCTACTCACTTCTGAAAAATCATTTTTACTATAGAAGGTAACACAAATTCCAAGGATCATGACAAAGAAATAGCATTATAGTCACTCACAGCCTACCAACAACTTATTATTTTATGTGTGAATATGAGGTGCCAGGGATGAACCTAACATCATAATGTGAGGACTATGCTCTGTCAAACTCTACATCCCCGGCCCTGAAGTTTATAAGAGAAAACAAAACAGAACAAAACAAAAACACCCTGTTTCCACACAGCTTGTGGGGGATGGGGTGGAAGTTGCACAGGGAGGATAGTCTAATAGATGTTTTTCCTTTTGGTGCTGGGGATCGAATTGAGGACATTAAACTCTACCGTTGAGCCACATCTCTGGTCCTCCAGTGTTCTTGATACCACACTATACTTAACACGAAGTAGGGTTTTATTTATTTATTTGCTCGAGCGGGCCCAGTAACGTCTCCATTGGAGACTTTGTTGTTACTGTGTCTGGCATATTTATTTATTTATTTTTGCGGGAGGGTATTGGGCAGAACTTCCAAGCAATGTTCAGGGGAGTCAGAGGTGACACCCAGCTGCACTCTGATTCTCAGTGGACTGACTCTGTGTGGAGCCCAGTAATGCCAGGAGACTCATGCTCGTTAGTTCCAGGCCCATCAGGGCCATGACTGCTGCTGCTGAGTGGCTTCTAAAGCTGCGTATTTGGGGGCTTTATGATACTGGGGATTGGATATGGGATGTTTTGCATTCAGGTTCTATTTTTTGAATTATCTCCTCAGGCCCCCCACCACCCTAAATTTCTAATTTGATGAGTTAAGCATCTGTAGAAGGTAGTACTCTTACAATTTATTTGATTTTTCATGTTACATAGCTCAGTAATATACTTCATAAGTCACTCAGGTGTTGCATATCCTTCCCAGCCAATGCAGTACAGCCATATAAGAAGGTTTGGTGTTTTTGTTTTGCTTTTAAATTTTGGTTTGGGGGCCACACCTGACTCAGGCCTTACTCCTGGCTGAGCTTGGGCAACCATATGGGAGTGCCAGGGATTGAATGCAGGTCAGCATGTGCCAGGCAAAAGCCTTGCCTGCTATACTATTTCTTTGGCTCTGGGTTGGTGGTATTTTTCATTTTTAGTTTGAAAAGTGGTAACAGAAACGTTTGACTTTTAAAGAGTTTATCATGTCTCTGTTGACAAGAATCAGGTCCCTTTCTTTTAAATTTGGGTCTCAGAATGATACCTAATTTGTGTGTGTGTGTTGGGGTGTGTGTGTGTGTGTTGTTTTGAGGCACACATGGGGCTTACTCCTGGCTCTGTGCTCAGCAATCATTCTTGGCAGGGTTTGGGGGACCATATGGGGCTATAATTCATTGAAAACGTTCTTTCTTTCTTTTTTTCTAGTTTGAGTAACATTCAGCTCTACACTAAGGTACTACTTCAGGCAGTTCTTGGGGCCATATGGAATGTGGGGGATCAAATCTGGTTGGCTGCATGCAAGGCAGACACCCTCCTTGCTGTACTATTGCTCTGGCCCCTCTTTGAAAATGTTCTTTTGAATAAGACAACATCAGATAAGTTAATAACATCTCTCAAGTCAAGAGAGAGATCTTGTCTCATACTTTCTGATTCATGACTTTGCCCATATTTTTTTTTCCGTTGAGTCAGAGATCCTTTTGTTATATGACAATTTTTTAAATCATACTTTAAAATGTAAAACTGCTGAGAAAACAAGTCTTGTAATTTCCCTTTTGTCAACCAGAGGAGCTAAATTAAAAAAATCAAGAACAATAATTTTCTTCCTCCCCACTTTCCTGGTGGTTATGGTTGATATTATCCTGCTGACGGGATGGTACACATGCCAGGCTCGGGTGTTCACAATTTTATTTTAGAATAAAATATCTAACAATATCTAATAAATTTTAAATAATTAGAAAATTACACAAAATTAACAAAGATTTTTTTTGTTTTCTGCTTTCTGGGTCACACCCAGCGATGCACAGGGGTTACTCCTGGCTCTGCACTCAGAAATTACGCCTGGTGTTGCTGCCGGACCATATGGGATGCTGAGAATCAAACTTGGGTGGGCCACGTGCAAGGCAAATGCCCTACCCGCTGTGCTCCAGCCCCTGTTTTGTTTTGTTTAACTTTTTGGGTCACACTTGGCGATGATCAGGGGTTACTCCTGGCTCTGCACTCAGGAATTAGTCTTGGCAGTGCTCGGGGGACCACTGGGGATGCCAGGGATCAAACCCCAGTCTGCTGGGGTTTTGCAAGGCCAGCGCTCTGCCCTGCCCTCTTTGTTATCACTCTGGCCCCACAAAATTAACAAGGTTTTGCCAAAAAAAAAAAAAAGGTCGATGATCTTTATTTCATGGGTTTCTACATTGGAGGGCAATTTAGGGATGTATTTTTTTTTGGCTGATAGGTTACAGAGATAAGAGGTCCAGGTGAAGATAACCTGTAAGCACATACTAAAATGTACTGGTGAGGAGGACCAGAGAAAGCTGAATGGGCAGATGCAAGCCTTGCAGGCTGGAGGCGGGTTTCATCCGGGGTCCCCATGGTCCCCTGGCACTACCAGGTGTAACTCCTCCCGACCCCTACTAAAAAAGTACTGAAGAGGCTATTCATTGCCCACATACGGTCCCCGGGCACTGCTAGGAGTCGTCCATGAGCGCAAAACCCGGAGTAAACCCTGAGCACCCCTGGATGTGGCTCACAAGGCAAGAAACAAAAAAGGGTAAGAGTTCATCACGAAAACAACATATTTATATCCCGAACTTAAGAAAATGCTAGAAAACGCAAGAATACTCCTGCTCACATGTCCCCTGTGAGCAGAGTGATTTTAACCTATTCATGCATGAACGGCAAAGAAAACGGTCAAGCATCACCTGAGAAATGTTAAGAGGCCAGTTTGTGCTTAGTGGATGCCCTGGACAGGTCTCGTGCTGCGTGTGAATCCATCCGTCCTGAGTTTTGTGAACCTCAGTGCCGGGGAGGAGGGGGGCTAGTGCAGTAAGCGGCCCCGTCTCCAGGCAGCTAGGCAGAGTGGACGAGGGCCATCCGCTCAAAATGCAAAAAACCCGCCCTCGGCAGCAACGCTACACAGGGGACGCGATCGCGCGCCGCCCGGGGGACGTTTTCGGGCAGCGCGGAGGTGGCTGGAGGAAAAGGATGGGAGAACCCGGAGAGGCGCAGGACCCCGAACTCCTGGCGACCCGGCGCGCCCGGCTCTGCTCTCCCGCTGCAGCCCCACCCCCTCGGCGCGCGCGGGTGGGCCCGCGGCTCTTCCGGCGCGGGCTCTCGCGCCACCCGGCGGCCGCCCTCCGAACGACGCCGTCTGCTCGCGCGACGCCGGCGTCTGTTCGCGCCGCGGCCGAATAAAGATTTCGCCTTCAAACAAACAGGAAGTGCCTACGGAGGCCGGGCGGCGCGGCGGCGGCGGCGGCGGGCCCGGCCGGGCATGACGCCGGGAGGCGACGGCGGCGCGGGCGGCGATGAGCGACATCGTGGAGAAGACGCTGACGGCGCTGCCGGGGCTCTTCCTGCAGACCCCGCCGGCGGGCGGCTCGGCGGCCTCGAGGCCGTCCTGCTCCTCCCGGCTGGGCGGCCTGGTCCGCGGCATCACCGCGCTCAGCTCCAAGCACGTAGGTGGCGCCGCGCCGGGCCGAGGTCGGGGAGCCGCGCAGCGGGGCGGGGTGGGGGTGGGGCGACGGGCTGCGTGTGCGCGCGGGTGTGCGTGTGCGTGTGTGAGTGCGTGTGTGCCAGTGTGTTTCTGTGTCTGTGTCTGCGTGTGTGCCCGCGTGTGTGTGTGCGCGTGTGAGCGTGCGTGTCTACCTGTGTGTTTGTGTGTGTGTGTGTTTGCGTGCATGTGTGCCCGCGTGTGTGTTTGTGGGCGTGTGTGTCCGCGTGTGTGCGTGTATGTGTGCGTGTGAGTGCGTGTGTTTGTGTGCGTGCGTGTGTGTGCGTGTATATGTGCGTGCGTTTGGGTGTACACGTGTGTGCATGAGTGTATGCGTGTGTGCGCGCGTGTATATGTGTGTGAGTGCGTGTGTATGCAGGTATGTGTGCGTGTGTATGAGTGAGCGTGTGTGTGGCGTGTGCGTGTATATGTGTGTGAGTGCGTGTGTATGCAGGTATGTGTGCGTGTGTATGAGTGAGCGTGTGTGCGCGCGTGCTTGCGTGCGTGTGCCTGTCCATGTGCGCGCAGGTACGCGTGTGTATGTGTGCGTTCGGGGTGTGCCTGCGCGTGTGGCGTTGGGGCAGCCAGTCGTCTGGGTGCTGCCTGGGCGGTCCTTGGCTGTCCACGGCTCTTAACCCCCGCGAGGGGCGCTTCCTCCGCTTGCTTCTGCCCCAGGAGTCCCAGGGGTGGCAGCCGTCCCTAGGTCGGTTGTCGCTGATGAGCTGAGACGTCCCAGTGGCGAGCGTGCGCTGGAAACGTCGTGCCTTCCTGGTCCACCGAGTTTACCCTTCCAGGCTCCTCTGGCCGTGGGTTTCGAGTAGGTTTCCGGTTAGTTTCCCGGGAATTTTCTCGCAGTGCCAAAGTTTCTTTTCTCTCTCCGACCCCACGCACACGCCCCCTGCCGTTTGTACCTACCTGTGTTTTGGGCGGGTGAGGGGTTGGAGGGAGAGAGCTCTCGGTTCTGGGATTCAAGACCTCTGGGCTGCCCTGACAAAGAACCCCCAGTGCTACCCATGTAAGAACTGCCCAGAAAGGCGCTGCACCAGCCAGGCCGGGCGAGTGAGCACTGGGAACCCGAGTCCCGCTGTTCCCAGGGACGTTGCGGAGCGCTCCCCGACTGACTGTAGGAAAGGCCTCATGGGAAGATGCACTTTTAGCATCAGTTGCTGTGCGTGTGTATGTGAAAGTGAGGTGGTAGGAGGAAGGGGGAGGATGTGAGAAACAAGCAAAGAAAAAGAAAGAAAGGTGGGGGAAGATGGTTGGGGGGTGGGGGGGTGGAGGAGGGAGATGGACCCTGTTTCTGCAATTGATTTCTCCAATCCAGGAAGACTTCCTGTATCCTGAGGACAGGTGTGGACTCTTACTCCTGGGCCAGTACAGGAAAATTTTCTATTTCTTTCCCATTGTTCACTTGAAAAACCGCTTACTGGACCCAGAGAAGTGACTGGAGCACATGCTTTGCATGCGAGAGCCCTAGTTCAGTCCCTGCTCTGCTGCACGCCCACAGCATTGCTGGGAGTTCCCCTTCCAACCAGTTCATGGAATGTCCTCCCCCTGTCGCACTCCCCCCAAAAGGAAAGGGCGAGGCTGCTGGGCAATTCCTAAGGGAACAGTAACAATGAAGAGAGGAACTCTGGGTTAGCCTGCAGGTACTCTGTTTTGGGGGGATGAGGGGAGGAATTTTGGGCCACACCTGATGCTCAAGGATTGATTTAAGGACCCGACCATATGTGGTGCAGGGGGTCAAATCAGGGTTGGCTGCATGCAAGGCAGGTGCCTTCCCTGCTGTACTATCTCTCCAGTCCCCTACTCTAGGCAAATCTAGATTTTATTTTATAACTCCTTTAAAGGAATTTTATTTTGTAGGTTATATTTTCCCTTGGGAAAAGGTTGTTGCAGTTTAGAAGTTTGTTATTCAAGTATTTAATAATGTCACCCTTTCAGGAGGAAGAAAAGTTAATTCAGCAGGAGCTGAGCAATCTGAAGGCGACTGTGTCTGCGCCTACTACCACGCTGGTAAGGGTTTCTGCCAGCACATGTACCTGTCGAATCTGAAACCTGGGCTACTACGGGCTTGCAAGTGGTATCTGGTTGATTGCTCAAATCTGATATGTCACAGATAAATCAGTTCTGGATGGTATTATGTCAGACATGACCTTTAGTCTAGTATTTATTGCTCTCTGCACTGGAGCAAGATTTGCTTGAGTGCTGGCAAGCCAGTGCTGAGTCAAACATGGTTTCATCTAGGTAGAGGTCTGTTTAGGGTCCCAGTGCTGATCTTCTGGTTCTGAGATGGCCACCGGAAAAGGCATTATACTAATTTCAGGCCTGAATTGATATATTTTAGATATTTAATTATTATACATCGTGTGTAGTAACTATATATTATGTACAATTTGTATGTATTAGGTATCAATACAAAATTTATTTTTGCTTGTTTTTATTGTGGTTTGGGGGGGTATTCCCAGCAGTACTCAGGGTTTACTCCTGACTCTGAGCCCCCAGTGGGGTCTGGGAAACCTTATGGGATGCCAGGGATGAAACCTGGGTCAGTTGTGGGCAAGAGAAGGACCCTACTCACTGTACTATCGCTCCGGCCCCTGCGATACAAATTTTTACATACAGCTTTACTATTACACATATTCTTCTATCTTGACCTATAAGATAAGATAGAGGAATATAGAAATACAGTTTTCTTGCTTTTTTTAAAAAAAAATTTTATTTATTTTTTGGCCTTTTTGGATCACACCCAGTGATGCTCAGTGACTCCTGGCTCTGCATTCAGGAATTACTCCTGGCGGTGCTCAGATGCTCAACCTTATGGGATGTCAGGAATTAAATCTGAACCCTGGGTTGGCCATATGCAAGGCTATACTATTGCTCACGCTTTTAAACTTTACTTTAAAACTAAAGGTATTGCCCAGTAGTTAAACGCAAGTTTAGTGTTTTTGTTTGTTTTGTTTTCGGGTCCTACCTTGTTTGTTTTGTTTTGGGGCCCGTACTGTGCAGGGGATCTAATAAGGGCCCATGGCATGCAGGGCCTGTGCTCAGACTGTTGCGCTCTCTAACTCCAAATCAGTGGTTTTAAACTCAGTTCCATGTCAGCTCAGATCTAACACTATTCATTCAGCAGCTGTTTAAGGAGTGGGTGCTATATCTGTGCGGCTGCCCCTACATAATTTAAACCTAGTTTTATTTTGAATTTTATTTTGATTAATAAGTTTCATGTGTGAGGTTTTTCCAGGTAGCATTTGCTCAGCAAATCATGTCTTCTGTGTGTGAGTCTTTGGGAATATTTTCCTTCCTCCTCTAATAAAAACAACAGGGTCATCATTTGGCAGGCGTAATGACCAGGTATGAGTAACACTTGAAAGTCTTAAAGAATATGTTATTTCCTTTTATAATTGTAATGGCATGAGGACAGATGAAGCTCAAAGCCTAGCTAACCTACTCATCTACATGTGTCTGTTTACATGTCTAGATATATGTCTGTGTATGTATATAAAATCATCGTGCTTGTTGGTACTTGATAGACTGTTCAGCAGATCTGATTTATCTTCTTTGTTAGGTTTCCTTTCTTTATCATTGGCATCAGTAAATACAATTTTTCTTGCTGTAAACCTGGTGGGTAGGCTTACAAGAAAAATAGGTAGACTTTTGGACCCTGGGTTGGAAGGAAGATTCTGTCATTGTGAATGCTGGGCATACCTCTCAGAGTAGTTTTTCCCTGAGATGGTCATGGAAAGGTGCAAACACAGTTTGTTAGAGAAAGTGTGAAGCAAGAGGGGATCTGGAGCCTGGAGGGAGAGTTTAATGGTGACTACACATTCCTAGCTTGTACCTGACCCAGGTTTGATCCTTGCCACTGCATGACCTCGTGAGCATCCCTGGGTGCAGCCTGGAGGCCCTTGCCCAACCCCCCTAAGGTGGTGTGGGTAATCCCTGGCACCACGTACCCAAGGAGCACAGTGTCCTCTGTCCTTGTGTGACATGAGCCACTCGCCAGTTTGTCTGGGAGTCACTGGTAGGGCTCAGGGATCTTCTGAACACCACTTGGGAGACAACCCCTTCTCCCCGACTTAAGAGAACCGCAATACAATCAATACGATTTCACTTAAAGTTTAGAGTGACTTACAGAAATCCTTTTCCTTGTTCTATTTCGAGATAGGCTGTTGAGGGTGATTACTTCAGTGTCTTAAAGGAACATTTTCATTCTCAAATGGTAGAAACCTCTGAGGAAGGACTTTTGGCATCTTTGAAGCTAATGTTCTCAGAATTTAGCAACTTTAATTAACGCATTAATAAATTAACTTGTATTACTTTAAACACAAGTGACCTGAATTAAATTTTAATCCCCTAGGATTTTCCAATGCCTTTTAAGACTGTTTATATTTACATGTATATAAATATAGATGTATAGGTGTGTGTGTGTGTGTGTGTGCGCGTGTGCGCATCTATTGAACGTTAGACGTTACTATCCTTTAAAATACTTAGCAAGAACTGGATGCTGAAAGGAGGTAAAGGTATTTACGTGAAACACCATAATACCCGAAAAGAAAGAGAGAGTGAGCGAGAGCAAGAGAGAAGAGAGAGCGAGAGAGAGTGAGAGAGCGCAACAGAGCGAGAGAGAACAAGAGAGGGCGGGAGGGAGGGAGAAAAGAGAGAGGAAAGACAGAATCGTCCGTGCCATAGAGGTAGATTGTTGATGGGGTGGGGTGGGAAAATTGCACTGGTGAAGGGCTGGATGTTGAAACATCGTATGACTGGAACTCAGGAAAGAACAACTTTGTAACTATGTATTTCACTGTTCAATTGAAAAAAAAGATTAAAACAAAACAAAACACTTAGCTGGGGGCCAGGAAGTAGGAGAGAACACGTTCCTGGCAAGCGCAAGGACCCTGAGTTGTACCTGAGTTCTGTCTCCAGCTCTGTGTGGGAATTTCCCCTCCCCACTTTTGTACCACACCTGGCAATATCCTGGGGTGTTATTTCTGGCTCTACACTTACGAATCACTCCTGGCAGTGCTTGGGGATCCTTATGGTATGTCAGGGATAGAACCAGAGTTAGTGGTATAAACCTTACTTTATACAGTCTCTCTCTGTGGCCCAACTAGTAGCATTGTTATAAAAATTTATTTTTTTTGCCAAGCATTTTGTGATATAGTAAATCTGTAGTATACTAGCCATAGTTAAGTTTTACATATTAAAATAGTTTAAAAATAGTTTTAGCTTCTTTTTTTTTTTTATTTTGGGGACGGTACCCAGCAATACTCAGGCTTACTTCTGGCTTTGCACTCAGGAATCACTTCTGGTGGTCATCTGGGGACTATATGGGATGCCAGGGATCGAACCAAGGTCAGCTGTGTGCAAGGCAAGCATCCTACCCACTATACTATTACTTCGGCTCCTTAGCTTTTCTCATTTTGAAATCTATTTTAATATACTCAAAATTAATTAGTTTGTGATATAAGTATTAAAAGATACTTAAAAATTTGGCAACCTGAAAAGACAGTATGTTGGTGACGGTGCTTAGCATACCTGAGACCAACCCTGTTTCAATCCCAGCACTCCATATCATCCCCGAACACTGCCAGGAGTGACCCCGGAGCACAGAACAGGAGTTAGCCCTGAGAACTGCTTGGTGTGGTGCAGAACAGCCTCCCCCCATTTAAATATAGGAGTGCCATACTATTCTTGAAATTTTGCTGTCAGCTCATCAGAATCGTGATAGTTGTTGAAAATGAGTATCTATAAAGTAAACTTGCTTGTTCCGCATAGTAATTCTAAAGAAAGTCCAGGTGCAGTTTGGTTTTTGACTGTGATAAATATTTTTATTGCAGAAATTATCAACTTGAAGGAATTTTATTAATGTTTTCATATGGCAAACTATTTATTATTTATTTATTAGTGAAACACTATGAGGTACCAGTTGTTGACCTTACAAGTTTTTGTGCTTGGGTTCCAGTTATACAATGATCGAGTACCCATCCCTCCACCAGTGCCAATTCTCCACCCTAATGATCCCAGTAACCCTCCCACCCCTCTCATCCCCCCCCCCCATCCCACCCTGCCTCTGTGGCAGAGCATTCCCTTTTGTTCTCTATCTCCTTTTGGTTGCTGAGGTTTGCAAAAGAGGCATTGAGTGGCAGTCACCTTTGGTCTATAGTCTACTTTCAGCATGCATCTCCCATCCAGGGAGGATCCTCCCAACACCCTTTACTTGGTGTTCACTTCTCTGTCTGAGCTGCCCTTTCACCTAGCATATGTGGTTGGCCTCAAGCCATGGAGTGAACCTCCTGGTACTTATCTCGACTATACTTGGATGTTAGTCTCCTATTATATGGCAAAGTATTAAAACACTATGTGCCAAATTTTAGAAGTCATGCAAGATTTTCATGGGTGAAATTTTATTTGAGGACCATGTTTCTAACATTATAAAACCAAAGTTTACATTAGAATCATAGAGAATTAGAAATAGCTAGGGTGATGTAGAATTAAGAATTTATTTACATGTTATCATTTCAGTGTCAAGATGAAAATATTTTCCTGTTAAATGATTACAACATAAGAAAGAAATTAACCCATTCTATTTTCATTTTGCATTTCAGAGAATGATGAAAGAATGTATGGTGAGACTAATATATTGTGAAATGCTTGGATATGATGCTTCCTTTGGTTATATACACGCAATTAAATTGGCACAACAAGGAAACCTTTTAGAAAAAAGAGTAGGTATGTATATGTTTAAGATATTTTTTACTTAAATGTTGTCCTTTAAATTCTAGCCACCATATGAAATGAATAATGCAGGTATATAGTATGTTTTTAGAACGCTGTCTTGTAATTTTTTTCCCCATTTTTTATAATTTTATTTATTGAATCACCGTGAGAGAAGTTACAAAGCTTTTGGGTCTAAGTCTCAGTCATACAATGAAACACCCGTACCTTCACCAGTGCCCATTCTCCACCACCAAAAATCCCAGTATACCCCCATCCCAAACCCTCCCCCTGCCTGTGGGGCAGATGATTTCCACATTACTCTCTCTCTACTTTGATCACATTCACTGTTTCGACACCAGACCCACCATTATTTGAGATTTTACCCCAACACTCAGATCTGCTGAAAAGGCAACAATAGACAATTTGTGTTCTATTGCTGGTTATGAATAACATATGATGTCGTGTGGCTGCAGTAGGGCCATGTGGTTTTGAAATTCCGAAATTTTAACACTTAAATCTGGAGGGATTTCTGCCAAAAGCCACTGGGTTTCGAGATCTGCTTCTGAGTCTCTGGGATCATGGCCATTGAGCAGCTTGATGAGGAGCCAGAGAGGCCATTTGTGGGCGATGACTTGGGGTCTCGTTGGGGTGGGGAGGACAGGCCCGGCTCCACCCCCCCCCAACCCGTGAGGCCCAACAAGTTTCGTCACTGCAGGCCCAAGCCTGACTGTCCAATGGCCTCTGGAGGATGACAGCCACCAAGTTGCCAAGAGGGAGGAGGCGGAGGGACAGCACCCATTCCCCCCTGGGGTGGCCCGGCAACAGTATCCTACTGCGGGGTCCGGACACATTTCTGCCAAAAGCCGCTGGGTTTCGAGATTTGTTTCTGAGTCTCTGGGATCAAGGCCGTTGAGCAGCTTGATGAGGAGCCAAAGAGGCCGTTCGTGGGTGATGACTTGGGGTCTCGTTGGGGTGGGGAGGACAAGCCTGGATCCACCGCCCCCCCACCCCCCCCATCCCGTGAGGCCCAACAAGTTTCATCACTGCGGGCCCAAGCCTGACTGTCCAATGGCCTCTGGAGGATGACAGCCACCAAGTTGCCAAGAGGGAGCAGGCGGAGGGACAACACCCTTTCCTCCCTGGGGTGGCCCGGCGACAGTAACGTACTGTGGAGTCCGGATGCATTTCTGCCAAAAGCCACTGGGTTTTGAGATTTGTTTCTGAGTCTCTGGGATCATGGCCGTTAAGCAGCTTGATCAGGAGCCAGAGAGGCCATTCGTGGGCGATGACTTGGGGTCTCGTTGGGGTGGGGAGGACAAGCCCGGCTCCACCCCCATCCCATGAGGCCCTGTGTGTCTCGTCACTGGGGGCCCAAATGTGACTATCCAGTGGCCTCAGATGGATGGCGGCCACTGGGCTGCCAGGGGGAACAGGCCAAGGCACGAAACCTATTCCCACCTGGGTTGGCCCAGCACCGGTAGCCTACTGCAGAGACCAGATGCATTTCTACCTAAAGCCACTGGGTTCTGAGATTCGTTTCTGAGTCTCTGGGATCATGTCCATTAAGCAGTTCAATCAGGAACCAAAGAGGCCTTGCCTCCAATTATGTAGCTGAGCCGGAGGTGGTTTCTGGGTGTGTTTCCCACATACCTAACTTTTGGCCGTTTACTTTCTTGGTAAACTTTGCCCCAAGTTTTTGGGGTCTGGCCAAAGACACAGCAGCAATTTTGGGGTATCTGGAAGTCTGAAGGCACCATGAGGCTGCTGATGCACTCGCCTCACAGGTACAGATTGACCTGCTGGTGGCACCATACCCCCATCTTGTAATTTTTAAAGCTTTAAAAGATTACACTTTAAAAGTTAAAAGCCTATAAGGGAAATCAATTTTCCTGATTTGTAGTAGTGTGAAATTACAGAGAAGATAAAAAATTTATGTTCTGGTGGAGGATGTGGTATTGGATCATTGTATGCATAAAGCCCAATTATTAACTATTGTAAATCAATATGCATAAAGAAATATTACCTTCCATAATGTAAAAAAATTGGGCTGGAGCCATAGCACAGTGGGTAGTGTGTTTGCCTTGCACGCAGCCAACATGGCTGACCCAAGTTCGATTCCTCTGCCCCTCTTGGAGAGCCCGGCAAGCTACCGAGAGTATCTCACCCACATGGCAGAGCCTGGCAAGCTACCTGTGACATAAGTACCTAAGTTACTCATTGTCATGGTTGAGTCTTATGTTTTGGGGGTTGTTTTTTTAGACCATATCTGGGCAATGCTCATGGACTTCTGCTGGTGCCCCGGGGATCCTTGGGCTGGGTGATGGTCAAGCTCAAGCATCCTGCCTGCAAAGCATGGCTCCAGCTGCTTTGCAGCCTCCCTGCTCTGGAGGCTTATTTTAAAGGTGTCTTTAATCATTTATTGGTACTCACATCTTCTTTTGAGATATGTTGTCTGTGGGTGTCAGGTATTTATATGAAGAGTAGAAGTTGCTTAAAGTATTCTTTGGGGGCCTGGGAGAAAAAACAGGGCTTACGAGGCCAGAGACCCTCTCAGTGAGTCTTGGTCGGTGGGGATGGTGGTTCTCTGAGGGCCTGAAAACTCATTGCTGGAGATTTTCCAGGTCACACCTGCAATTTTATCCATTGTAGACATAGTGTGTGAAACAGGTAATTCTTTAAGATTTAATGAAATTAAATTATTCTAAATTAAATTATTTAGATTATTTAGATTAAATCATTAAATTATTAAATTATTTAAATTAAAGTATTCTATCTGAAATCTTCTTAAGATTTTGAACCTTATATTTTGCAGTTTGGTTGTATTTCTACCTTTTAAGTGTTATCTCTGTTAATTAAATTTTGGTATTATTTTTTTGCATAATTTCTTGGAAAAAAGTTTTTGAGGAATGATGTCCCAGGGATTAAAGTGTTCTATTAGTGAACTGTATCCTTGGCCTAGGAAAAAATTAATTTTTAGAAGGTAGTAATGAGATTTTTCTCTCTTTTTTTAGGTTATTTGGCTGTTTCTTTATTTCTACATGAAAGTCACGAACTGTTGCTTCTCCTTGTGAATACAGTTGTAAAGGTATATTATAATGTTGGTTAATTTGGAGTCTTAATTATGCCTGCAAGTCTCTGACATTTTCAGCATACTGAACTAGATAGTTTTAGAAAAACGTAGATTTAGAATGTAGCACTCTAGCACTGTCTTCCCATTGTTCATCTATTTTCTCCAGCAGACACCAGTAACATCTCCATTGTGAGACTTGTTGTTACTGTTTTTGGCATATCGAATACGTGAATACGTCACGGGTAGCTTGCCAGGCTTTGCAGCGTGGGCAGAATACTCTCAGTAGCTTGCCGGGCTCTCTGAGAGGGGCGGAGGAATCAAACCCAGGCCAGCCGTGTGCAAAGCAAACGTTCTACCCACTATGCTATCGCTCCGGCCCAGGCTTAAGAATGAGCTTATAAAAACCTGAGTGCTCGAGAACAGATGACTGGTTAAAGAAACTTTGGTACATCTACACAATGGAGTACTATGTATCTGTTAGAAAAGATGAAATCATGAAATTTACATACAAATGGTACTACATGGAAAGTATCATGCTAAGCGAAATGAGAAAGGGACAGACGTAGAAAGATTGCATTCATCTGGGGAACATAAAGTAACAAAATCGGAGACTTAACACCCAAGAATAGCTGAGATAAGTACCAGGAGGTTCACTCCATAGCTTGAGGCCAGCCACACACGCTAGGGGAAAAGGCAGCTCAGCTAGAGAAGGGAGCACCAAATAAAGGGTGTTTGGGAGGATCCGCCCAGGATGGGAGATGCATGCTGAAAGTAGATTATAGACTGAACATGATTGCCACTCAGTGCTTCTTTGGCAAACCATAGCACCCAAAAGGAGAAAGAACAAAAGGGAATGCCCTGCCACAGAGGCAGGGTGGGATGGGGGGATGGGGGGTGGGAGGGATACCGGGATCATTGGTGGTGGGGAATGGGCACTGGTGGAGGGATGGGTATTTGATCATTGTATAACTGAAACCCAAGCAAAAAATTTGTAAGTCTACAACTGTACCTCATGGTGTTTCACTAAAAAAATTAAACAATAGGAAATAAAAAAGAATGAGCTTATAAAAATCTTTCAGATCATTTTCTGCATCTGTAAAATGAAGATAATAGAACTGAACCGAGTCGTAAGGTTAGTTACACGCTAAGTAAAGCAGTAGTTTCTACTGTTACTATTATTCACTTATTCATTGGTGCTGGGGAGCAAACCTAGGGTCTCACACAGGTGAGATGTACATTCTTCCATTGAGCCCCATCCTATTTTATTTTAAAAAGTGTGGAGTTAGAATTATAAGTGCTCTTGACTTGAAATAGGCCACAACTGGTGGTACTCAGGGCTTACTCTTGGCTCTGCCTCTAGGGATCACTCCTGGCTGTGTGCTCAGGGGATCATATGAGGTGCCGGGATTGAACCAGGGTCAGCTGTGTGCAAGACAAGCACTTTATCCCCTGTATTATCTCTCTTGCCACACCTGTTAAACTTTTAAGTAAAATTGTTAATGGAACGTAATCAAATGGTTGAGCTCTTTTATGTTTATCTTGTGTCAATCTTTTGATAACCTACGTTTGTATAGTAATTTCTGAATTTTTAGTTATGTACTCTACTAAGGGCAGGAGCGATAGCACAGCGGGTAGGGTGTTTGCCTTGCACTTGCCCAACCCAAGTATGATTCCTCCGTCCCTCTCGGAGAGCCTGGCAAGCTACTGAGAATATCCCGCCTGCACGGCAGAGCCTGGCAAGCTACCCGTGGTGTATTTGATATGCCAAAGACAATAACAAGTCTCAGAATGGAGACGTTACTGGTGCCCGCTTGAGCAAATCGATGAACACCAGGAGGACAGTGCAGTGCTATAGTGCTATTCTACTAAAGGTTAGTAATAGTTTAAAATTTTCTAAACTTTAAAATACATTTTCAAGTTTTATTAGAACAATTGGCAAACGTTACACCAATGTAAGCATTATATGTATATATTTTACCATATATTGGAGAATGACATTATATCTGTATATATATATATATATATATGAAATTTGTTGTTTGTTTTGTTTTGGGGCCACACCCAGTGATACTCAGGTTACTCCTATTTCTGCACTCAGGAATTACTTGTGGCGGTGCTCAAGAGATCATGTGGGATGTGGGAATCGAACCCTCGTTGGCCATGTGCTAGGCAGAAGAGCCCTACCAGCTGTACTCTCTCTCTGACCCCCAAAACTTCCAGTAGTAGTATTAACAAGAAAAATTATAAATTGGCTTGTAACTTTTAAAGGTTACCTCAAAGGAGACTGCTTTGGCCGGTACAAACTGACCTAGTGGGAAAATATTCCTACAGAGTAAACTCTGTTCTGCTTTCAGATCCCTGTCTATAAAAGTAACCTTTCACCCAAAACCTGTTTGGGGGCGACAGTCTTGCCGTTTTATAATCCCGTATTTGGAACTTGAGAAGTTGTGTGACTTAGAAGTTGTTTCATCATAGCCAGTTTCTCAGTCCTAAGGATGGATCAGAACAGAAATGCAGGCCTGGGGATGCACTCAGCAGCAGAGCACTTGCCTTGTACTCGAGACTCGGGGTTCAGTTCCTGCACCACAGAAATCCCAACCAAAAAGGGTGGGAAGACAATTTTTTTTTGGATAGGTTGTTAATTAAATAATTTAGTTAGGGAGGGGTAAGTTTATGCTTATTTATTCATTCTATTAAGGCAAACATAGGGATATTCAGGTAAATGATAAGGGTGAACATAAGGTTGTTATTACTTTATTTTTAAGTGGGTCAAGGAAGCTTTATGGCAACATAATGGCAAGCTTGAAGATGGGGGACTTATGTCTTCAGAGCAGCTACCTTGTCTGCATGGTCACAAGAAGGTTTTTATAGGGAAAGACCAGGGAAGAGAGAGTGGACTGCAGATGAGTGGAGGGGTAGAATGAGTGCCAACATTCTCCTGTGGTCTGGTCCCCTACGGCAGACTCCATCTTGTCCACACATCTCGATAAAGTAAGGATTAGGTTGTTGGGGGAAGGGTAAACTGAGGAAAAGCCATTCTCCGTTTTGGAGCAAAGACAGTTATTCTTGTCTAATGTGATCCTTGTCCTGGTTTCAGTCCCACTGTCATCTCTTCGGCTTCTGTGGAATTTGAGGCCTTGAGTCAGAACTGTTTCCTGCTGAAATAAATCAGCCTTTTTTTTTTTCTTGAAGATTCTGACATGAGGGGGAGCTATTCTCCATAAGATTCTTCCCTCTTTTTAGGGTTCTTCGAGTCCCCACTATCAGTTCAAAAGTAATGGGCTTCTGACACTTGGATCTAACCATTTCTTCCCAGGCGAGTCATCATGGGGGTGGGGGGATGGGTGGAATAGAACAAAGTGATCTGTTGGAAAAATATTCCTGCAAAGCAAATTACAATCTGCTTTCAGTGCCCTGTCTGTGAAAGTCACCTTTTACTCAAAGCCCATCTTGGAGTGATAGAGTCCAGTTGTTTTATAATCCCGTGTTTGGAACTTCTTGGGATGTTCTATAACTCAGAATTTGTTTTGTTTTAGTTAGTCTGAGCCCCGAGAGTACACCAGTCCTTGTAAGGAGCTGTGTCTGAGTCCTTGACAAAGGGAAAACAAAACAAAACATTAACATGGAATTAAACTGGAAACCTAGGCAAGAGCTTTAAGAGCTGCAGGTTCTGTATCTTAGTTCCTGCATCTTCAGATGACTATTTCCCTAGTTTTACTTGACCTCTACGTCCTCTGGCATGAGGAAAAAGAGCAGTCGCTGTGGTAACATCTCTGTCATCTGTATTCAGTTCTCCATCTCCAGCTTGCATGGTCTTTAGAAGATCATCTGAGTTGTTCTTAAGTGCAGGTCAGCTAGTCAAATACTTGCTCAGAAATTCACAGCCAGGTATTGGGAGGGACACATTATGATTTATTCCAGTTTGTTACAGGCAAAATCAAAAAAGCCAGGAACCGAAGCTGAGTTTCCTCAAAAGACATGTTACTGAAATACATCTTCCTTTCCACCTTCGCTGAGGATCTACTCAGTTATTATAGTAGCAGATTAAGTTTACTTCTATAAATTGGGACTAGTAAGAAAAGAGGACATTCACCTGCAATTTTAGACTAAGTTTAAATTTTTAATTTTTTTTGGGGGGGGGGCTCTTTGGGTCACACCTGACAATGCACGGGAGTTATTCCTTGCTCATGCACTCAGGAATTACTCCTGGTGTTGTTCGGGGGACCATATGGTATGCTGGGAATCAAACCCAGGTCGGCCTCATGCAAGGCAAATGCCTTACCCGCTGTGCTATCTTTTCAGCCCCAGACTAAGTTTAAGTGGTCTCTCTGGGCTCAGGAGACTTGTTTTTCTTTTTCAGGAGTCGGTCTCCACGGAGCAATATTGTTCAGATAGGAGGCTTATTAGCTGAATGTACAAATTAGTTAGAATTTATTAGAACAGTAATACAGATCTATTGTAATGGTAGTTTGTCCTCTGTTGTTTAAAACTTGATCCTGTTTTCTTGGCTTGTGGTTCTGGCAGGACTTACAGAGCACTAACCTGGTGGAGGTGTGTATGGCGCTTACTGTTGTCAGCCAGATCTTCCCTCGAGAGATGATTCCAGCAGTGCTGCCATTAGTAGAAGATAAACTTCAGCATTCTAAGTAAGTAAATTCTTCCTGTTTGTGCTATATGTATTTCAAAACAGAGATTTGTACTAGTGTCTTTCTTGTAACTTAGTGCTGCCAGAGTAGAAGATACACTTTGTGAGATCTTACACAAACATCCCCAGTAGGATATTCCTTTATTTTTATGTGGGACTTAAAAAAATGTTGAGCTACTCTCTCAACTTAAAACAGGGAAAGTGAGACTCTGACAGGACTTTTCTCTTACCTCCTATGTCACTAATAGCAGTTTTTTAGACCCTACTAACAGCTAGAAAGACTCCTGTTTTTTTCTCTGGCTTCATGGGCTTCATGTTATGAGACAGTTTTGGTGATAAAGTGAAATATTTATAGCAGGATACATCGAAATAAACCTTAGTTTATAATAGTTGGGAATCTTACCAGAATTTCTTTTAATTGGATCACTGTGAGATATACAATTACAAGGTTGTTCATCGTTGGTTTTTAGTTGTACAATGTTCCAATACCCATCCCTTCACTCCTGTACATTTCCCACCACCAGTGTCCCCAATTTCCCTCCTGCCGCCCTCCTCACTTGCTTCTCCCTGCCCACCCGCCCCATCCTGCCTCTAATGTGGATACTTTTCATCTTTCTCCCTCTCACACTTTCTTTCCTTCAGGCATTATGGTTTGATTTAGGTACCGAGAATTATCATGTGTAGCCCTTTACTTTCAGCACTCAGTTCTTGTCCAGAGTGATCCTTTCCAATATCATTGTCTTACAGGTCCCTTCTCTATCCTGACTACCCTTCTCAGCCCTTCCACTTGTGGCAGGCTTTCATCTTTAAATCAGTCCTCCTGGCCCTTGTTTTAACTGTGTATGGGTGTTAGTCTCATTATACGCTTTTTTATATGCCACAGATGAGTGCAATCATTTTATGTCTATCTCTCCCCTTTTGATTCATTTCCCTCAGCATGATACTCTCCATGTCCATTCATTTTCAAGCACATTTCAAGACTTCGTTTTTCTTGGTGGCTGCATGCGTAGTATTCCATTGCTTACAAGATTTCTTAATTCTCTCCTAATCAGCTTAACAAATTAAACATCAATAAAATTATGAATTTAATTAAATTATTAAATTATCTCCCGGAAGCGCGCGGCCGCATTTGCGGCTGTGCGACATCTTATCATCTTATTCCTACTTTGGACAAACTGGCAGGCTACCGAATGTAACCTGCCCACACGACTGAGTCTGGCAAACTCCCCGTGGCATACCCAATATGACAAATACCAGTAACAATGAAGGGTCTCGTTCTCCTAACTCTGAAAGAGCCTTGAATATGGCACTTTTTAAAAAAAAATCTCAGGGCTAGGATGAAGGAGATGTTACTGGGGCAATCGACGAATTAAATTATCAAATTATTTTTTTCACTACATTCAAAGTTATTTATTTTCGACCTGGATCCTTCATAATTTTTAAGGCGAAGGGGAAAAATCGCATTCATTTTATTGTGATCACAGTAGCTTATACACAGTCATTCTTGCTAAAAAAATTTTGTTACAATATTTACTTCATTCACTTAAGTCTTTCTCTATTTTTGTTTTATTTGTTTTGGGCTACACCTGGTGGTACTCAGGGCTACTCCTGATAGTGCTGTGGGTCTTTCCTGGTACTGCTTGGGGGACCGGGTGATGCTGGGGATCGAATTGGGGTTGGCTATTCTTAAGGCAAGCAGCCTGTACCAGCAATATTGACAGCTTAACATTACAAATCTGTAACCCCTTTTGATTTAAACTTACTATGGATTCATAATTTTATTGATTTTTAATTTTTAAGAGATTATGGCCTTCAAAATGGAATTTAAGAGATTCAATTTTTTTGGCTTTACTTTCAAAAATAATATAAATGCTAGTTAACAAAAATCAACATAGAGAACATACAATATGGGCAAAATCTGTTGAAGTCTTACTCCTGAAGAAAATTATTTTTTTTCCCCCTTATTTTCAGACTATGAGGTGATCAGGATCGCCACATCTCATGCTTGGTACTGGGGATTAAACTCAGGTTGTCACGCTTGTCTTGGGTATAGCTACTGAGCTAATATCCTGGTCCCTAACAGCAGACTTGTCAGGATAGTCTCAGCACTTGCACACAGCACTGGGCTTTGAATTTGAGGCTTGGTGTTTGCCATAAAATGCTTTAAGCCACTATGCCATCTTGTGGGCCCATGAACTCCACTTTTTATAGTTTTGCCGATTAGTAACATATAATTCTCTTTTTAGACTAAATAGCTGATAAGTGTTTTTATTGAGAACATTTGCTTCTTAAAATAGGCTTCAGGGGCACAACTTTATAAATTAAAATCTGTATATGCAATATTATTGTCCATGGGCAAAAAAAATACCTATTTTGAAACCATCTCTTCTCTAATCCTCAAACAAAATGTCCGACAATTCAGATTTTATTTTTTCTACCTTTAGGGAGATTGTAAGAAGAAAGGCTGTTTTGGCGTTACATAAATTTCTACTTATTGCTCCAAATCAAGTACAGCATATACATATTAAATTTCGGAAAGCACTTTGTGACAGAGATGTTGGGGTCATGGCTGCTTCCTTGCACATATACCTAAGGATGATAAAGGTAAGTTGGAGGTTTCATCAGGTACATTATTAAAAAAATGTAACTATGGAATTAAAATTCAGATTTTTCAGTAAATCTCAAAACCTGTTATTTTTAATAGTAATTTTTGTTATTTATAATGTGAGTTGTAGATACAGTACAGTATTAATATTTCTTTTAACTAAAATACTTTTTCATGTGATTTAAGAAGCATGGACAAATTGGTAGTTAAAGGAGGCTATTTCAAGGAGCAGATTTGTGGTTTTTCCAGTAGTGACACTTACTCAACTTCATGGGAGGCTTGAAAGCTATAGAAATGAAGTGAGTTAGTAGGTATTTTGCAAAGATGAGACTGCATTTTCAGCTCCAGATAGTGACAGGTGAGATGTGTCTGTTGAGGAAGAAGTATTGATGATAGTGCAAAGAATTTTCTGAACGGTGATGATGAATTTATACTAATTTATTCCCAGTGTATTGCTAAAACCCTGTGTGTCTGTAATTATATTTGTGAGATATTTATGAATACCTCATAGCGAAATAGAAGATAGAAAATTTACTGAAATCAGTTCAGACCTATAGGACTGAAGGTTGTCTTCATTTTTATAGTGAGGTATAAGTGGAAATGTAATGTCAAATCTTTTAACACTTATTAAGCTTTGAAAGCACTAGTTTCCTTTTTGCAAATTTATCCTTGACACTTAATAAAATTACAGTGTAGAATTAAAATTCATTTTAAGGAATGTTTATTTAATTTTCTTTGTCCACAAGATTAGTCAGATAGATAATCAAGGCATAGTAGTTCAGAAACACAGATATATTTAAATACTGTGGTTATTCAGGGTTATTCTTAAGAGGTTTCACTGATCTTAGAGGGTGGGTGTTTGAATAGTCCTGTTTCTGCCCTTTTGCTCAGTATATATTTGCATAAGATGATTACTTGCAAACAAAGTTCAGTCAGTCACGATTTTCATCAGAAGTTGAAGAACTCCTGTCTTCTTTAAGCATGTTGGTTCTTTTCACCTTTTCCTTTCATTGCTGGAACATCTCAGATGCTCTTCACTTTTCAGATTCAGTTTTGGACTATCACAAAAAATGCCAATATTGCCATATAGAGTGTCACTTGACCAGTTTTTTTAGTTGCCCAGTGCATGTAAGAACTATACTTACACACTATTGTAATCTGTTTTATTAGAATGCAATAATATTGTTTTTAAAAAACATACACTTATTTTAATGAAGGTAGGTGCTATTGTGGAAGTGAAGCCAAAAGACTTATCAGGGTTGCTGTAATTTAAACAATGGAAAAATTTTCAGTTTGTATAAAAATGCCTGTATACCTGAAATCTACAAAATATGATAATATACTATAATAAAGTATAGTGAAATAGTGTTACGTAAGCATTTTTTTAAAAACCTACATTATCTGTGAAGTGAAGTGCAATAAAAAGAGTGTTGGCATTTAAGAATTTATGAAATGTGAGTAATTGTAGAGACAAGTAGAGAGTGGTAGATCTTTGCAGAGGGGGTGAGTCAGCCTTGGATGGGAGAGACAAAGGCGTTTCATCATGGAGGAAATAATAAAGATTATAGTACTGTTTCATTCAAATGTGAACATGAAACGTCTAACTGAGCGTGTATTAACTTAGAACCTGTGTGGCATCTCAGTCAGATCTATTTTATATTTGATAAGATTATTAATAGAAAGCTTTTTATTTTGTTTTGTTTTGTTTTTGGATGTAGGAGAATTCATCTGGATATAAAGACTTGACGGGGAGTTTTGTAACAATTTTGAAGCAAGTAGTTGGAGGCAAGCTCCCAGTAGATTTCAATTACCACAGTGTGCCAGCACCATGGTTACAAATTCAGCTCTTGAGAATACTAGGACTTCTAGGGAAAGACGATCAAAGGTAAACTAGCCTAAGTAAGTTTGATAGTTTGAGGTTCTAGTCACTTAGGTTTTATGATAAACTAATTTTCCCAGTGTTTCATTAACTTAATAGTGATAGATAAAAACACTATAGAAGGTACATAAATCCAGGTTGCTCAGATATTCCTGGCCATTTTTGCTTATCTAAATCCTACACTTAGTGGAAGGTTTTTCTAAAGTACCGTGTGTTCTGTGGAGCTTTCTGAGTCATTCTTGTTTAGGGACTGGGAAACTTGTATGTAAAGGCCAGATGTAGCACTGTCCTCCTGTTGTTTATCGATTTGCTCAAGCAGGCACCAGTAACGTCTCACAACAAATTGTGAGACTTGTTGTTACTGTTTTCGGCATATTGAATACACCACGGGTAGCTTGCCAGGCTCTGCCGTGTGGGCGAGATACTCTCAGTAGCTTGTGGGGCTCTCCGAGAGGGACGGAGGAATTGAACCCGGGTTGGCCGCGTGCAAGGCAAACACCCTACCCGCTGTGCTATTGCTCCAGCCCAAAGGCCAGATAAATAGTTTTGAATATGTGGGCAATATGTTGTCCATTGCAGCCACTCAATTGTGCTTTGCTACTCAAGCTCGAAGCCTCACTTGCCTCATACGAGGCTAACCTTGTTTCGATTCCCAGTTTGTGGAATCACATATAGTTAGTTCCCAGCACTGGCAGGGGTCATCCTTAAATAGCAGAGCTAGGAGTAAGCCCGGAACACAGCTGGGTGTGGCCCCACAACCCCTGCCCCCACCCCCCAAAACAAGAAAGTAACCATGGATGTATATAACTAAAGGTGCATAGTCACTTTTAGAAAACATTTTTGTTTTGGGACCCCAGCGGGCATTACTTGGGGGCACTCCCAGCAGTCTCTGTGCCATGCAATGCTGAAGATTGTTCCAATGCTGAAGATTGATCCTGCTTGCATAGCATGCCTCCATCCCGTTGAATGATCTTGGCAGTCAGCCTCTTCCCCCCCACCCACCCACATATCCCCCAGTATCTCCAAAACCCACAAAAGAATTGTTACAGATACTTCAAGGGTCTTTGCATCTGGGATGTAGTTTACCAGTGAAGCTTACACCTCGTATGCATGAAGCACTGGGTCCAGAGATTAGCCCTGGGAAGAAGAAAAGATAAAAGATGAAAGTAATTTCCCTCCCAGTCAAAAAAGTGTAGAAACCATTCTTACTCTGAAGTCTCACAGAAACAGACTGAATATTCTGCTTGATTAGGCATATTAACTATTGCTCCCAGACCCTTGGTAATATGTCACCTTAAATTTTTTGCATGAATTGATTGCTTTAATTTTTTTTCAGGAATTGATCTTTTTGCCAGCAGCATATATTAAACATTTCATAGGTGTCTTTCCTGGTGTTTTTTTTTTTTCTTTTGCCAAATTTTGCCATAGTTTTTCTTAACTTAGAGAAAAGTTCCAGGAATACTACAAGTAGTTCACCTTATACTATTACCTCAGTTCATCAGTTATTTGCATTTATTTTCTTATTCTTTCTTTTTGGGCACTATATATATATATATTATTTTTATTTAAAACATTTTTTATGTACTAGAGACCAAGGTTAGCTAGATTCTATTACCCTTGGGTGACTCAAGTCCTTGATATTTTCCTGTCTTAAGAAAATATTTGCTAGGGGCCAGAGAGGTAGTACAGTGGTAGGGTGCTTGCCTTGTATGCGACCTACCCAGTTTTGATCCCCAGCATTTCATAGAGTCTCCCCAGTGCTGCCAGGAGTGATTCCTGAGTGCAGAGCCCAGAGTAAGCCCCGAGTATTGCCGGATATTGCTCAAAAAGAAAGAAAAAAGAAAATATTTGCTAATCAATGGTCTGACCTTATGAGTACATGTTCTTTTTTTTTTTAATTTTTTTTTTTAATTAGTGAATCACCCGTGAGGTACAGTTACAAACTTACAAACTTTTGTGCTTGCGTTTCAATCATACAATGATTGCATACCCATCCCTCCACCAGTGCCCATTTTCCACCACCTACCTATGATCCCAGTATCTCTCCCACCACCCCCACCCCGTCCCCTCTACCCTACCCCGCCTCTGTGGCAGGGCATTCCCTTTTGCTTTCTCTCTCCTTTTGGGTGTTGTGGTTTGCAATAGAGGTATTAAGTGGCCATCATGTTCGGTCTGTAGTCTGCTGTCAGCATGCATCTCCCATGCTGAGCGGGCCTTCCTAGCATCCTTTACTTGGTGGTCCCTTCTCTGTCAGAGCTGCCATTTCCCCCAACACGTGAGGCTGGCTTCTAAGTTGTGGAGTAATCCTCCTGGTACTTAACCTCTACTATTCTTGGGTATTAGTCTCCCATTCTGTTACTTTATATTCCACAAATGAGTGCAGTCTTTCTATATCTGTCCCTCTCTTTCTGACTTTTTTTTTAATGCATTTTTGTTTTGTTTTGTTTTTGCTTTTTGGGTCACACCCGGCGATGCACAGGGGTTACCCCAGGCTCTGCGCTCAGGAATTACCCCTGGCGGTGCTCAGGGGACCATATGGGATGCTGGGAATTGAACCCGGGTCTGCCGCATGCAAGGCAAACACCCTACCCACTGTGCTATTGCTCCAGCCCCTTTAAATGCATTTTTAAGCCCAGTTTTTTTTTGAAAAAATTTTTTACCATTATCTTTTTTTCTATTTTTTTTTAATGAATCACTGTCAGATACAGTTACAGATTTACAAACTTTCATGATTACATTTCAGTCATACAATGGTCGAGTACCCATCCCTCCACCAGTGCCCATTCTCCACCACCAATGTTTCCAGTGTCCCTCCCGCCACCCCCTCACCCCCCTCTCCACCTGTGTGGCAGGCACATTTCCTTTTACTCTCTCTTTTAGGTGTTATGGTTCACAATATGGTTAACTCCAATTCTTTAGTCTCAGTTTACAAAGAGACTGTCTTCTAGGCTTTTCAAATGCCTCCTCAGCATCCTGTCAGCATCCAGCGGCCTAGACTTCCTGATGGGCATTTATCTAGCATACTGTGTTACTTGTTCCCTGATTGAAATGGGTAAGATTCTGGAGGCAGTGAAGCAGATACACACTACACATGCTTTGGAATGTTTGTTTTGGTTCTGTTTCATGTAACCCGTTCTGTCTTATTGGGAACCTCTAGCTGGAATTCACTGAAATTAGTTTTTGGTTTTTTTTTTGTTTCGTTTTACTATTTTTTGTAGGATTTATAGTGCTGTTAGATTTTTTATGCTGAAATTTTGTTTTAAAATACATTCCAGGGCCAGAGTACCGCCAGGTATGGACCCCAAAGCAAACAAAAAGCACCAACGCAAATTTCATAGTAGTGCATCCAGTCTCATTGGTGTGAAAGGACTTAATGACATTATTATTTGTTGTCAGTAATTAACTGGAGACATTTAGTGATTCACTACTTTTATTAGCTCAGTGTCTTTCTCGGTCCTTCATGGATGAATTTGGAGAATAATAGAAAATGGCATATCGAATACTCTCGGTAGCTTGCCGGGCTCTCCGAGAGGGGCGGAGGAATCGAACTCGGGTCGGCCATGTTGGCCGCTTGTAAGGCGAACGCCCTACCCGCTGTGCTATCGCTCCAGCCCAGACACAGTAACAACAAAGTCTCCAATGGAGACGTTACTGGGCCCGCTCGAGCAAATCGACGATCAACGGGAGGGCCTTTACCTTTACCCTTTAATAGAAAATGAGTAAATAGTTCTTCCTTCATAGAGTTTATTAATTAAGCCTAACTCGTTGAGTAAAGTTTGGAACTCATCACACTGTAGAATTTTAGGACTTTTTTTTCTGGTAGTATCAGCCTCAGTGAGATTTTATGTTAATAGAAATGTATTTCTTTTGTTTTTGTTTTTTTTTCTTTTTTTGTCACACCCAGTAGTGCTCAGGGATCACTCCTGGCAGGACTTGGGGGACCATATGTGATGCCAGAGATTGAGCCTGGGCTGGCCACATGCAAGGCAAGCACCCTTATCACTGTACTCTCTCTCAGGCCCCAATAAAATGTATTTCTTAAGCCATGATTAGTTCAATGTAACAAAGTAAAAATACTATTTTACAATAGGATTTGATAATAGTTGAAAGAATTTACTGGAAAAACCCTTTTATATTTAATCTTGTTTAAATATTTCATGTATATTTTGCTTAAATATTTTCTTATGTTTTGTAGTATTTGACATTTTAGGTTCTTAACATTTAGCTGATCATGTCTGCAAGTGTTTCCACACTATATATTGTTTAATTAACTCTTTATGCTAGACATTGGTTTATAAAATTGAGTAACTATAATCTAGATGTGGTATTACTGAATTTTGGTTGTGGTGGTAGGGGATGAGAATTTCTAATGGTTGTTGTTATTTTTTTGTAATGATTTTTTTCTCTGGAAGAAATACTTATACAGTAAGTTAGGGATTTTGGAATAATAGTTCTGGGTCTTCACTAGATATTTATAATCTAAGAAACCTAATAAAAGTATGTGTACTTCAAGTTGAATAAATAGGGAAAATTGTCTTTTCTGAAAGAGATATACTTGCTAATCTAATTTATATTCCTGCAGATAACTCTGCTTTTCTTATAGTGCAGTTTCTCTGCTAAACTACTGTGTGTGCTCTCCATAGCTGGTGGTTTCCTGTGTTAAAACTGGCTGGTTTGTAAAGCATTCTAAGATACCAGCTCAGAAACCAGAGTTTTCACATAGGCTTCTTGGAGAGGTCTTTTCTCCTCTTAGGGACAGACTGCTCGGTCTCCAGAAAGCACTGTATGTTTTTGCAGTACCTACTAAGGAAGACTTACTTACTGTATAGTTGGTATAGTTGATATTCTATACAGTATGTGTTTCTGTGAGCAGTGCACATAAAGATACAGGAATGATGTAAAATTTGTTAATGTCCGTTACATGTTATTCCTCTACATTAATACAAAGTCAGAAATTTTATTCTTAATGACCTTCAGTGCTGCTAAAAGTTTAGTATTTGAATGATTTTTAAAAATGTGTGGTTAAATAGAGCTAATACATTGCCTGGAATAATGTGAATCTATAGGCTATTACTATAATTTCTTCAGACATGTAGAAATATACTGTTTCAAAGAAAATCAGAAAAGATAACAGTTTTTAACCATGCCAAAATCAGATTTAAAAAATAAGGGCAGGTTGAGAACAGAGTTAATTGGCAAAACAAGATTTATGAAGTAGGGGCAGGTTGAGGAAAGAATTAATTGACACATACGTATCTTTTCATTGAGTAGTCAGTTTTGGTAAAATGGGATGTTAAACTTATGAAAAAGAGCAAATGGAATCTTGAAGAAGTGAAATTTCCTTAACTTCATAAAATGAATTTCTTTCACTTCTTTTCTGTAGATCCTCAGTTTTAAAGACAGAAGTTTGAAAAACTGTTTTATTGGGTTATATACTATAATTCTACTGCAAATAAAATATTTTTTAAACAGGACAAGTGAATTAATGTATGACGTTCTTGACGAATCCTTACGAAGAGCTGAGTTAAATCACAATGTCACATATGGTAGGTAATGTTTTACTCTAATAACTAACAACATTATAGCTCAATCTGTGTTAGACTGCTATAAATTTCAATTGAGATTTATATGTTATTTTTAAGACGGTTCTTCAAACTGCCATTTTCAGGATGCTGAATCAGTGCTATTCATTAAATACTGTATGGGTGAATTATTATTCTTAACCTGTTGATAAATATAATTACCTTGAAGTTGTGATAGCCTCACTTAATAACAATAAAATCCTAAAAATTAATAAATTTGAAGTTTCCATAAATGAGATTTTGGGTGGGGAGGGCCATACTCAGCTCCTCTAAGGGCTTACTCTTGGCTCTGTACTCAGGGATCATTCCTGGGGAGTGTGGGAAGCATATGGGGTGCTGGGATCTAATCCAGGTCACTACATGCAAGACAAGGGCCCTACCTACTGATTTATTTCTCCCAACCCCATAAATAAGATCTGACTAAAACTGACTTTATAATTTATCGCTATTATTGTTAAAATTAATTTCTTATTTTTGCTGTGCTGGGGATCAAACCCAGGGCCTTCCACTTGCAAGGCATATGTTCTACCAGTGAGTCACATTCCTGATCCTTTTATTTACTAAGAAGTTGTAGAGATATATTTATTATCACATCAGCGACTCAAACAGGAGTTAATTTAGTCAGAATGCCTAAGAAAATGAGGGTGAAGCACTTACAAAGCAGAGTTGTCTGCATATCATTTAAGGTATTTCCACATATTTCCATCCAGGCACTTTCTTTCCACTGTCTTGCTCACATTTCCAGCAGGCTTTAAGGTGAGAAAGCGTTCAACAGCCTTCCTTGGATTCAGAGTTTTCCCCTAGTATGTGTCCTCTGAAATTTTTACAGCTTTTGGGGATGCCTTAAGGCTTTCCCAAAGCGCGTCTCTTCAGTGTATGTGTACTTACATGTGCTCACAGGATCGTGGGATGCCCACATGGCTGGCATTTGTAGGGTTTCCCTTCACTGCACTCCTGAGGATTCACAGGGATGTGGAGAGACTAAAGGCTTTGCAGAAACACAGCTCTGCTTCACAGAGTTTCTGTCCACTGTGTGCTCTTGCGTGATCTTGTACTTTCATGAGATCCGTGAAGGCATAGCCAGACCTTCCTCACACCATCAGGTGAATGCCTGCCTCATGGTCTTTGCAGGGACCCAGGGGACTTGATGCCTTTGCCACACTGTTTACGTCCCTAGGGTTTCTTTCTTCTGTGTGTCCTCATCCCAGGACTGAGGGAATTCTGTAGACCTTGCTGCACTATTCATTCACTGTGGATTCTTCCATGTTCTCACGGTGTGACTGAGACTTTAAGCCAACACTTATATTCACAGGCTTACCCCCACTCTGCATTTTCCTATCTTATTGTGAGAATTTGGAATCACTGAAGGCTCGGCCACATTTCTCACATGCACAGTTCTTGTCAGTGTGACTTTTTTACATGACTCATAAAGTGTAGTTATCCATGCAGGTTTTCCCATGTAGTTTGCCGGCGTGAGCTTTCATTCACAGTAATCTCTCAGCAGTGGGGGTGAGGCTGAGTGGTAGAACTCTCCTGTGTTTGACCCCTAGTACTGCCAAACAAAACCACCCCCCAGATTCACATAGGCATCTCTCATATGGCCCCGGGAGGACAAAGAAGAAATCAGCGTTTTTCCATATATCTTAAAATTTAAAAAAATTCCTGCTTTTGAGGCTTTTCAGGCTTTTTAGGAACTATTTCAGGCTTTGAAATAGTATCTTAGACACTGTTTCATTGCATAACTCTTGCTACCACTTAATCATTGAATTATTTTCCCCCCCAGTAATAGCCACACAGTTTTTTATAAAAAGTTTTATATAATGGTTGAATTTGACAATTTTTGCAACATTAAATCTGTGACACTTACATGGTGAAATACGGTACTTTGCTAGCCCCTGCCTTTCATAAGTTTCTCTGTAATAAGTTTCCATGTGAGTTCTTGTGAAATGCAGCTGCAGGTTTCTCCACATTCCTCACTTTCAGAGGGTTTGTAGATCTTTATTGGTTCATAAGGAAAGGACCGTCCACACAGGCTTTTCTAGACAGTACATTTTACATTAATAGGTGGCGCTGCCCAGGCTAATAGCTCCAGTGCATAGTAAAATTCATAATCTGATTCAAGGTTTCTCACATTATCTTCATTACTTCAACACTCTACCGAATGACTTCTCAGACACCTCTCCTGGGTTTTGCTCTGATCTCCCAGGTTATAAAATGGATAGTTTTCTCCAAAAAACACAAAGGGAATACTTTCTTGTGATCTTACTACTTCTTCTCACTTGTTACTTCATTCTCCAAAATACCCTGCCGAGGACTTGATTCATTGGTTTTTAACCACAACGAACAGATTCTAGCAGGTCACCCACATTACATCTTTTTAGAGCTTCTCTGTGCAGAAATTAGCATGGCCCATTCTGGAGCGAGTTTCACAGCCCATCCTTAAAGACTACTGCCCAAGTCCATCTTGGCCCTGACTCTGGATTCTCAGAAGTCACCTCCTGAATAACAAGCCAGGGGCAAGTTAGTTTAATTGTTTTATTGTGTTCTGTACAAATATGCCTGTTTATTATGCCTTGACACAATCCCTGACATTCATATATTTTCTTTCTCTAGCTATTCTGTTTGAATGTGTGCATACAGTGTATTCCATTTATCCTAAAGCGGAATTACTTGAGAAGGCTGCCAAGTGCATTGGAAAATTTGTTTTGTCACCTAAAATAAACCTTAAATATTTAGGTAAGATGGTTGGTTCTCTTGAGAGAAATGACAAGACTTTTGAAGTTTTCTTAATATTCATTTCAAGTTACTTTGTAAAATATATCTTTGTTTCTAGGACTGAAGGCTCTTACCTATGTTATCCAACAGGATCCAACTTTGGCTCTTCAGCACCAGATGACAATAATTGAATGCTTAGACCATCCCGATCCCATTATTAAAAGAGAGGTAAACTCTTCTATTTTTTTTTTTTATTAATGTATAGTGAAGTATTCAGTTTTTTTATTTGTGGCATTATCTGTAGGGATGGCTTAAAATTAGAGGCCGGAGGAATTAGGTCCTTTTTGGCTAAATAATTGTATCAATAGAAAACTACTTTCCTGGTACTGGAATGATAGTACAGTGGGTAGGGCATTTGCCTTGCATGTGGCCAACCCGGGTTTGATCCCTGACATCTCATATGGTTCCCCAAGCACTGCCAGGAGTAATTCCTGAGTGCAGAGCCAAGAGTAACCTCTGTGCATCACTGCATGTGACCCAAAAAGAAAAAAAAAAACTATTTTCCTTAGGTCTTATAGTTTTAAGATGGAATTAATGTTGGTAAATTTTATTCTCTTTATAAAATATGCTAATAAATTTCTTTATTAAATATGTAGGAGTGTTGAAAGAATTATTGATGATAAATCTAAAATGGTTTGCAGTTCTTGAAAGGTTTATTAATTACTTAATTTCTTTTTCTTCTTTGTTTTTATGCCATAGCTTGCAATGCTCAGGGTCTATTGCTGGCTCTCTGTTCGTTTTTTTTGTTCTGTGCTCACTTTTGGTTTTTGGGCATTAAAATAAAAGGTTTATTTACTTAATTTGTTTTGTTTTTATTTGTACCATACTGGTGATACTCAGGGACTACTGCTGGCTTGATGACTCTTTTTTTTGGGGGGGGGGAAGACACGCACAATAGGCAGTGCTCAGGGCTTACTCCTGGCTCTGGGATCACTTTTGGAGGTGCTTAAGGGGGGACCATATGTAATGCCGGAGGTGGAATCTGGGTTAGTACATGCAAGGAAACACCTTACCAGCTATACTATCTTTCCAGCCCTATTTTCTTAATCTCGTTTGAATTTTTCCTTTTGTAAAATTGTTTTAGTATTTTCTGGGATACAAATATTTCTCTTAATTCTCATGTAGAAAAATATGTATGATACTTTTATGTAAATTAATCTATGGGGCCGGGAGATAGCACAAAGGGCTGGAGTGCATGCTTTGCACGTGGAGCGTGATCCCTGGTACTGCTTTCTTCGGCCCACCAAATACCACCAGGAGTGGCCCCAGCACCGCCAGTTAGGACCCTGCTCACCAGTTAGGACCCTGCTCTCTCCCTACAGTCCTTCCAAGTGGCAAAACCTCCCTTTTTGGAAGAAAAAGAGCAGATAAAAGCTCAGTGGTAGAGCACCTGCCTTGAATATTTGAGACCCTGGGTTAGAATCCTAGCATTGCCAAAAATAAAATAAAAAGGTGTAAGGGAACCTAGTACAGCGAGTAGGTGCTTGCACTGTGCATCATTGACCAGGTTCAATTCTTGGCACCTCATATGTTCCCCTGAGCCCTGCCAGGAGTGATTTCTGGGCATAGAGTGAGAAGTAAGCCCAGACCACCGCTTGGGAGTGGTCCCCAAACCAAAGAGAACAAAAGAAAAAGAAACAAAAACCAAATGAACACCTTGCATTTCCTAATGCCATTTTATTTGTGGGATGAGTGAATGCTGGAAACGTGAAATTTTATGGCCTTAGTATAGGAAATAAATTTGATGTAGATCATCTATATAGCATATAGTCTGAGTCCTCAGGAAGCAGATCTGAAGCAGCTTCATGCATTGAAAGCTGTGGATGGGGGAACTGTAGGTTTTGAAGAGAAATAGGATTAACTGAAGCAGGTTTTTGTTTTGTTTTGTTTTGTTTTTGTTTTCGTTTTTTAAAAAACTTCTTTCTCATTCTCTACTTACCGTCCTGGCTTTAAATTTTGAAAAATTAGAAAGATACTTTGAACCAGTTTGAAAAGTAGCCCATGTAGTGTGAAAAAAATCTTTTTTTGAAATGGGCGAGCACACCTAGTGTGCTGGTGGCTCTTCCCAGCTTGGTGTTAGTGGATCACTCTTAGGAGTGCTTGGGGACCATGCAGTGCCTGGGATGGAGCCCAGCATTCCTCAATGCCGAACGTGCATCCTAGCCCTCTGAGCTATTCCCCCAGCTTAGCATCTGTGGAAATTCCCTAATACTATTGATTCTAAAATACCAGTAAACAGTTCTCAGTGTGGCTCTTCCTTTTGTATTGATTTCGGGGAGCTATTTTTGGGCTGGAGCAATAGCATAGCGGGTAGGGCATTTGCCTTGCACGCAGCCAACATGGCCGACCCGAGTTCGATTCCTCCCTCCCTCTCGGAGAGCCCGGCAAGCTACCGAGAGTATCTCACCCGCACGGCAGAGCCTGACAAGCTCCCCGTGACGTATTCGATATGCCAGACACAGTAACAACAAAGTCTCCAATGGAGACGTTACTGGGCCCGCTCGAGCAAATCAATGAACAACGGGAGGGCCTTTACTTTACTTTACTTTTTTTAGAACCTTAATGTAAAGCCTTATAGTGCACACCAAATATAAGCATTCTTTGGTACTAGAAAAAAGAGCTGTATTCCTCAGTCTTGAGAAAGTAAACTGTAAGGGATGAAAGTAACTGTAAAGGATGTTTGAGATTTCAAACATAAGCTCCGTAGGCCTGGAGTGCTTGAACCGCTTACCTCAGCCGTTGACTAGGCTATTTGCTGTTAGCTGACAAATCAACTTCAGTTTTGTTTTCTGTTGTTTGCGTAGTATAGAAAATCCAGTTTGCACAGCTGAATCTTCATATGCATATTTGTATGTACACCACGTGCATGCATACCCAGTACTAAGGAGTGTAGGCTGGAGAAGCTGTCATAGTTTCAGAAACCTACATTATAAACCTTTTAACATTTTTATCTTTGTATGCCCTGTCATGTATAAATGTCAGATTGTAATTATCCAGATCAGTTGAAGGCTTTTAGACTTCAGCACTGATTGGGATAAATTTTTTTTGACAGTAGTTTCACTTCCTTAAGTTCTATTTCACTTAAAAATATGAATTCCTAGAGCACCAGTTAACTGATTTCCCAGTAGATCATAATAAAAGTGGAAGAATCAAACTTATAAACCTATTGTTGCAGTATGTACTGGTGTTATGCATTGTTTTATTATATTCTTTATTTTTCTTTCTCAAATAGACTCTGGAACTTCTTTACAGAATTACTAATGAACAGAATATAACAGTGATTGTTCAGAAGATGCTTGAATATTTACAGCAGAGCAAAGAAGAGTATATTATCGTCAATTTGGTTGGCAAAATAGCTGAACTGGCTGAAAAATATCCTTTGAACCATGAGTTATTAAATACCTGTAATTCACAGTGACTTTAAAATGACTATAGACATTGTTACTTGCAAGATGAATTTAGTAATGCAGTAATAGTTTCTATTTCTGATTTTTTTCTTTCTTTCTTTTTTTTTTTTTTTTTTTTAAATTTTGGCTTTTGGCATACCCAGCAGTGCTCAGGGATGGATTCCTAGAGAGGCTCAGGGGACCATATGGGTAGCTGGGGATAATGCATGGGTCTGCTTCCTGCAAGGCAAATGCCCTATCCATTGTCCTCTTGCTCTGACCTACCTATTCCTGATTATTTTTTTTGGGGGGGTTGGCTTTTTAGGTCACACCCGGCGATACGTAGGGGTTTCTCCTGGCTCATGCACTCAGAAATTACTCCTGGCGATGTTCGGGGTACCATATGGGATGCTGGGAATAGAACCCAGGTCGACTGCGTGCAAGGCAAATGCCCTACCCGCTGTGCTATCGCTCCAGCCCCGTGATCTTTAATGTTTCTTAACAAAAATAAGAATTTATGTATTAAGGGATGGTTTTTTCCCTTTCTTTTCATTTGGTATTAAAAGTAGGAAAATAAACTTCTGGGGCTGGAGCGATAGGAAAGCGGGTAGGGCGTTTGCTGTGCATGTGGCCGATCTGGGTTCGATTCCCAGCATCCCATATGGTCCCCCGAGCACCGCCAGGAGTAATTCCTGAGTACAGAGCCAAGAGTAACCCCTGTGCATCACCGGGTGTTACCCAAAAAGCAAAAAAATAAAAGAAAGAAACTTCTGCCTGATTCCTCTTTCAATTTCTCCTTGTCTTTGACTGGACTGTCCTACACAGTTTCTTTTCTGAGTAAAAGTTTCTTGTCTTAAGCTCCTGCAGGGGGCTGTCTGCCCACAAATCAGCCTGGACTGTTGGTGGGTGGCCTTCTTGCTCAGGGCCACAGATGGCCACAGATGACCACAGATGACCACAGATGAGCCTTAAGTACCAGCCTGCGACCCTGCCAAGCCCACGTTCAGCCTTCCGTCAGACCCTATGGGTGGAGATCATAAGGCTGTGGGTGGGTTTCCAGCCCACTGTGTTCTCTGTCCACTCTCTGCGCATCTGCTTTGTTCTTCCTCCATCTGTGGCCTGTGAAGCTCAAACTTCTTACTTTTTTGAAGTTCCTACCAGGAAAAATCTCGCAGATTGCTTTTGCTGTGTGCTTCTATGGGGCCACAGGAGGGTGACTGGTCCTTTCTGTAATTTCGTGCACTTCGGATCCTACGCATTCATCTCTGCTCCCAGGAATCTTCTGGGACTTTTGTCCTAGCCAGTGCTAAAGGCAGAAAAAATGAGACCATTTCAGAACAATAGAGGGAACAGACTAGAAAAGAGGTTAATCATAATCACCTTGTTCAGGTAGAGACATATAGCAATTAGCCTTTCTCAAGAATATTTGGTTTTCTAGAATTTATTTATTCTGTCTTAAGTGGGATATTCTTATTGGATGTGTGTAAGTATTGTGTTGGGTGGAATAATATGAGCTCAGTAAAGTTTTTTTTTTAAATAAACTTTCATTGAACACTTTTTTTATTCCTTTATGGCTTTGGGTCATCAACCCGGTGATTCTCAGGGTTATGCCTGGCTCTGTACTCAGGAATTACTCCTGGCAGTGCTCGGAGATCATATGGGTTGCCAAGGATTGAACCTGGTTTGGCCAATATGCAAGGCGAGCTCTGCCTGCTTTCCTATATCAAGTCCCAGTTGAGCACCTAGTTTCGTACAAAACTGGAGCAAAGAGCAATATTGGCTGAGATTAAAGGTAAAAGTACACCAGAGTAATTCGGGCTATTTAAAAATTTTTTTTTTTTTTTTTTTTTTTTTGCTTTTTGGGTCACACCTGGCGATGCTCAGGGGTTACTCCTGGCTCATGCACTCAGGAACTGCTCCTGGCGGTGCTCAGGGGACCATATGGGGTGCTGGGAATCGAACCTGTGTCGGTCATGTTGGCTGCGTGCAAGGCAAACACCCTGCCTGCTGTGCTATCACTCCAGCCCCTAAAAATTTTATTACTGCTTTTCTTAGGATTATGCGCCACTACCTGCTAGTTTTTGGACTACTCTCAGCCCTGTGCTTGGGTGTCTCAGCTGTGCTCCAGGGAACATGGTGCTGGGGATCAAACCCTAGCACCCAGCAAGCACCTTAGCCCCCTTATGATCTCTCCAGTCCCAGTCCTCTTTTCAAAAGGTTGATGCGGAAAGGACAGTTATAAGTAGCACTTGGAAGTGTACTTGTTCTTAACACTGTGGACACATATGCTCCGGATAACGCGTGGTTCATTCAGACCATGAATGCTGTGTTTTCAGTGGGAGGAGATGTCATGCACCCTGATATCCCCAATAACTTTCTACGACTGCTAGCAGAAGGTAAGTAACTCTTGCATTCTCTAAAGTGCTTGCAGTTGTTTTTTACTATTAGAGCCCTTGGAAAATTTTTTGGTAATTAAGATGCCATGTCACCTTTTTTTGTAGGTTTTGACGATGAAACAGAAAATCAGCAGTTAAGACTTTATGCAGTTCAGTCTTATCTTACTTTGCTGGATGTGGAAAACGCGTTCTATCCTCAGAGATTTCTTCAAGTTATGAGTTGGGTGAGCAAGCTACGTTGAATCCTAAAGTTGGTAGCATTATTGTGGCAGTATGTTTCCTTCAGAAATCTTGCAGGTCTCCTGAGCTAACACCTACCGCTGTCAACTTTCTTTTCCAGTGGTTCCCTCTTAATCATTAATTAATCATTAGTAGCCTAAATGATTGTCTTTCTCCTCTGCCATCTTGCTTGCTGAATCTTCTAAACATGAGTACTCACTGAGGAACTTTGATGTGCTTCTGATATATTTATTGTGTTTTCTCTGTGAATTTCGACATGAATATGTGAAGATTCGTATCTGTGTTTTGTTAGTTTTCTATGGTTCTATAATGGTGTTACCACAGAGTCACTGCTAAAAATAGTACATATTTCTTACCTATTTCCAGTGGGCAAGAGGTACCCGTGTGGTGTAGCTGGTGTCTACTCCAGGGTTCCGAGTGTCTGGTGCTGCTCTCAGATTTGATGGTCAAGAATCTACTTTTATTTCAGTTGTGCTTGTTGGTAGAATTCAGTTTCTCGCAGCTGTTTGGCGGAGGGCTGGAGTTTCATGCTGTTAGCTATAGGCTGCCTGTAAGATTCTGTGGTTACCCCAGTTTCACGCTGCACAGGCCTCCCAGCTGGCCGCTTGCTGCATCACATTCAGCACCCTGGGAGACTATCTCTTTGCAAATAGCTTATAAGTTTATATGTTCCAGATATATGTGATTCAAGAACTCTCATCAGCTTTGTGTATTTCTTCTTTTGCATATGGGCGAGTGTTACTTTAGGGGGCAATTTGGAGACATATATCATAGTTTTGATATTTTGTAGTTTTCAGAAATTTTTGCATGGTAACTTACATTCTGCCTAGACTTTCACAGTGGTTTTCTTGGGCCTGGGAAAGGAATGACTGTTCTCCATTGGGGCATGCTTCATGCTCTGTCAACGGTGCTGGTGTTGAGTTCTTTTGTGTCCCTCTGGATTCGTGGCTATGTTGTGTCAGTTTGGGGGACAGTGGTGTGGAGATTTCTGTTTGGCCTCCCCAGCGCTGTCAAGGGGTGGTCTCGTTGGTGCTGACAGTGAGGGCAGCCCTGCCTCTCTCCATTAGGCTCTCTCTGCAGTAGCCCCCAGACATGGCAAGGATGGCCTTTTATGCTGAAGTGTAAAGGGAAGTGAGGTTTTTTGGAGTTTATTTTTGGATCACACCCAGCGATGCACAGGGTTATTCCTGGCTCTGTACTAAGAAATTACTCCTGGCGGTACTCAGGGGACCATATGAAATGCTGGGAATTGAAGCCAGGTCAGCCGTGTGGAAGGCAAATGCCCTACTCGCTCTACTATAGCCCCTGTCCTAGAAGTGAGGTTTTTAATATGTTGATGTTCACTGACACTGGACGAGTTAACCTCTTTCCAGTTTTGTGGGGGTGAGTGTTCCTGGTTCCCCTCTCCGACTTCTCTGGCAGACCTTTCAGGAGAGTTGGGCTTCTACTCCCATATGCTGGGCGTGGCAGCCCTGGCTCTCCATTCTGCCTTTGCCATGGTGGATGTGGCTGCAGTTTTTTTTTTTTTTTGTGCTTGGCTAGAGTAGAGGATTATTGTATAATATTGTTCTTTTTTCATGGCTCTTTGGCTAGAGGACAGGCTTTTCTTGGGGCTTTTTATTGTCATTATCATTGTTTTAGCTCCTAAGTCCTGCTGTTGACTCTCATTGTACAGCTTCAGGCTTAGAGGTGTTCCATGGGCTCCAAGAGCCAGAGGGATTTACATTGAAAAAAAATTTTTTTCCCAGAGTTATATGTACTTTTTACATATTTTTTAAATATGTATTTTTGACCTGGGAGGTTTTAGATTGTACTTTGGAAGAGTAGGGAAAAATGTCAATGCCATTTTTCTGGAAGCAGTTCTAATTCAGGGATTTTTGAAATAAGACTAAGTTACTCCCTCTTCTAGCACCACCTTCCATCTCTGTGCATTCTGTTTATATTTTCAGGTATAAGTTGCCATAGTTGATATGTGTCTATAAACACCTCTTTATTTTATTCACAGGTATTAGGGGAATATTCCTACCTCTTAGATAAAGAAACACCAGAGGAAATTATGGCCAAGCTATATAAGTTACTTGTGAATGACTCCGTTTCTTCAGAAACAAAAGCCTGGTTAATTGCTGCTATAACCAAGTTGGCATCCCAAGCACAGTCTTCTGACATAGTTGAGAGATTAATCCAGGAATTCACCGTATCTTTAGATACGTGCATGAGACAGCATGCATTTGAATTGAAACATATGCACGAAAATATGGAACTTATGAAGAGCTTGCTGCCAACTGATAAGAGTTATGAAGACATGGTGGTAAGAAATCTGTGTTTCATCTTTTTTTTTTTTTTTTTTGCTTTTTGGGTCACACCTGGCAATGCACAGGGGCTACTCCTGGCTCATGCACTCAGGAATTACTCCTGGCAGTGCTCAGGGGACTATATGGGATGCTGGGAATTGAACCCTGGTCGGCCGCGTGCAAGGCAAATGCCCTACCCACTGTGCTATTGCTCCAGCCCCCTGTGTTTCATCTTTTGAGAGATGGCATTGTTTAATTAGTTTTTGGGCCACCTCTGGTAGTGTTGTGGTTCTGTGTTAAGGAATCACTCCTTGCAGTACTCGGTTGGGGGCAATATTTGTGGTACCAGGTTTTAATCCCAGGCATTCTACCTGCAGGACAAGGACCTTACTTCTTGCGCTATCTCTTAGGCTTAAAATTGCAGTGTTTTAAAACATAAAATAATTCTAACATTTGCAATAGCACTGACATAGATCAAAATAGTTTTATTTTGAATTGCCTAAGAAGAAGTTGGAATTTTTCTCACATTAGTATGAGATAAGTTGAGAATTTCTTTTCTTTCTCTCTTTTTTTGGGGGGAGAGGGGTGCTTTGGGCTACACCTGGCTGTGCTCAGGGCTGACTCCCAGCTCTGCACTCAGGGATCACTCCTGGGAGGCAGGTTTGGGGGCCATATGTGGGACCAGGGATCAGAATGGGTCAGTCTTGAGCAAAGCTAGCACCTTACCTGCTGTGTTATCAATCTGACCCTGAGAATTTTATTTTTCTGGCCATACCTAGCAGTGCTCAAAGGTTACTCTTTGCTCTGTGCCCAGGTATCACTCCTGGTGGGGTTTGGGGGGCAGTATGAAATGCTGGGGAGCGTATCCAGGTCAGCCATGAGCAAGGTAAGAGCCCTACCTACTGTAATATCACTCTGGCCCTGAGAAACCAAGAGCTTCTGGTTAGTGGTTTTATATAGGAATGGAGGAGGGAGTCAGAGACATAGACAAGTGATAAGGTGCTTGTGTTCCACATAGCCGACCTGGATTTGATTCCTGGCACTGTGTGTGGTTCTCTCCAACCCCTTCCAGGGGTGATCCCTTAGCTCTGAGGCAGGTAAACCCTGAACACCACTTGGTGTGACCCAAAGCAAAACCAAAAATGAATCTTAATAAAGTTAAACCTTTCTGGGGCTGGATCGATAGTACAGTGGGTAGGGCATTTGCCGTGCACGTGCCAACCCCAGTTCAATTCCCAGCATCCCATATGGTTCCCTGAGCACTGCCAGGAGTAATATTTGAGTTCCTGAACCAGGAGTAACCCTTGTGTATCGCCAGGTGTGACCCTAATAGAAAAAAAAATTAAACCTTTCTAACTCCTTTGTGAAATACCAGTTAAACATTTGAGAATTGCCTGTTGATCTAAATGTTGAACTGTGTGTAAATTAAGAGAAGCTGGTCAGTGGTTTCTGAGGATACTGTTTTATATATGCTCATATGTATTTTTATTTTTCTTTTTCACTTCACTTTTTCCTATCTTATCCTTTACTCTTTCTTTATATCTTATTTATTCATTTAATCATTCTTCTGTATTCCTGTTGAAATTGAGTAATATTCAATTTGTTTCTGAAAAAAGTATTTTTAGGTAGAAAGGAGTAGTTAAATCAAAGGCACTATGGAAGGTGAGTAATGGTCTTCCATGTGTTAGCCCCTGAAACAGGTAGAGAGATCTCTGAGATGTGATTCAGTTACAGATTTTGTTGGGCCTTACCAACATCTTGATTTTCTCCCCCTGCAGTAAGAAACTAATACAGATACCACAGCTCTGGTCTGTGAGTCTTCTTCTCTGGGAGGTTACAGGTTTTTTGGTGGCATGAACTGTGTCTTCTTTTTTTTAGCTACGGCATCTAACATGATGCCCAAGCATATTGGTTGCTGAAAAGATTACTCAACAATGCAGTGTACTTAAGTAGCAGTTGCTATTAGTCTATACTGGGTCAGTTGTTTGTTGTTTCTGGACACTAGGTAGCACTTTTAGAACTGATGTGCTGTTTTTTGCACTTCTGCAAGTTTGTTTTCAGGATGCATGTAATGAAATTATTTCTTTGGCTCAAATTCCAGTTTAGAATATGTTTTTTTAAATTCTAAATGTTGCTTCATTTTAATATAGGTAGATGCTTCCTTATCTTTTCTGGATGGTTTTGTGGCTGAAGAACTGAGTCAGGGGGCATTGCCTTACAAACCTCACCACCAGAGACAAGAAGAAAAGTTTTCTCAAGAGAAAGGTAATTTTCTTGGTTTGTAGGAATTTAAGTCATAGGAATATAACTTTCTTGTGCAATGGATATCAGTCTTGTAAATGAATAGTTTAGAATGTGTACTTTATTTTACCTCTCCTTAAATCTGTTTGCAATTTGTTTACCCTGACTAAGTTTTCGGAGTTCAGGATAAACGTCAGTCTGCAGTTATTCCCAGGGCCAGATCAGGGGAGTCAGGTACAGAGGTGATGTTAAGAAATGATAGAGGGGCCGGAGTGGTAGCACAGCGGGTAGGGCATTTGCCTTGCATGCAGCTGACCGAGGTTTGATCGCCAGCATCCCATATGGTCCCCTAGCACCGCCAGGAGTAATTCCTGAGTGAAGAGCCAGGAGTAACCCCTGAGCATCTCTGGGTGTGATCCAAAAAGCAAAAAGAAAAAAGAAAAAAAAAAGAAATGATAGAGCCAAATATCCAAACCACAGTCAACAACACTGAAATCAAGAAACCCAAACTTTTGACAGTCGAACTTTTCCCACCGCCTGTCATGCAGGTTTGAAAGGTGGTGGGAAAATTTGAAATAATGGTGGTGGGATTGATGTTGAAATATTGGATGCAATCAATTAATGTGAACAACCTTCCCTGTCACTGTCCTCCCGTTGTTCATTGGTTTGCTTGAGCGAGCCCAGTAACATTGTGAGACTTGTTACTGTGTCTGGCATATCGAATACGTCACGGGTGGCTTGCCAGGCTTTGCTGTGCAGGCGAGATACTCTTGGTAGCCTGCCGGGCTCTCCGAGAGGGGTGGAGGAATCGAACTCGGGTCAGCCGTGTCAGCCGCATACAAGGCAAACACCCTACCCGCTGTGCTATCTTTCCGGTGCCTTATGAAAATAAAATTTAAAAATTTTTAAAAAAGTGCCTGTCACGAGGGCAGTCTGGAGGGTGAGGGGGGGCGAATGTGGGAGGGAACCTTGGGAACACTAGTAGAGGGACGGTGACACTGGAGGTGGGCTGGTGCCTCAGTATTATTGTATGTCAAAAACTAAACTATGAATAGCTTTATAAATCACGGTGCTTTAATTAAAAAAAAAGTAAAGAAAAAACCTCCATGAAAGTTGGAGCCTAAGATATGCCATCTATTGTAGAAATTTGAAAAAACTTACGGATAGAATTAGAGTTGCTCAGTATGCTGGAGGGCGGACATGAATGCACTTGCAGAAAAGTTTCAGTACTCTCTGGAACCACTGTGGAGCAGTGAGTTTCATTTTATGCTTATTTGTGCCACATTCCTGGTGCTCAGGGATTACCCCTGCTCTGTACTCAGGCGTTATTCCTGGCGGGCTCAGGGAACCATCTGGAATGCTGGGGATTGAACCCAGGTCAGCCACATGCAAGGCAAGAGCCCTACCCACTGTTAAAGATAACCCTAGTGAGTCTCATTTTAATTCTGAGCAATCTTACTCTGCCTGTGTTTTGGATTGCTTCCTCCAGCAGGATATCTGGTAAGGAAAGTTAGGAATAGTGAAAAAAACAAAAGAATAGCTTGACATTTAAGAAATGTAACTTGCCAGGGATCAGTTTCTGCCTTTATTATAATTTTTTTTTGATAAAGAGGGAATCTTTAAGTTGCTCAGATAATACATAATATTAATAATAGGGCAGTATTAATAAAGGCAAAATACTGAACATTACCTTCTTCATTTTGAAGTAAGAAAATTACTAAAGGAGAGGGAAAGAAAAATTCACACGTGGAGATAGAGGACAGATTTCTCCAGAGAGGAGAGAGAGAATGAAAAAAAAAAGGAAGCCCACACCTCCTGGTTATGGTTTAGTTGAATATTTCACGGTCTTGAGAAATCTCAGTATAGTTCACAGTAGAACTAAATGATTGATCATAAAGTGTGACTCTAGTTATAGGCTTAAGTTATCTTTTTATGCAGAAGTATTTACTCTCTTAAGACTTCAGGTACATTATTTAGCACCATGATAACTAATGGTAGAAAATTCTATTCACTTTCAAAAAATAATGTTTCCTTCCCATCAAGTCCATATGTATTGGTAGGGTATGGAGGAGAAAGGAGGGTTATGTTTTAAATCATAGTTTCTGTATCTGAGACTATAGTACATATAGAGACACTGTGATCTGGACATGGAATGAAAATTGAAGTTCCTCAGTGAAAGACACAGCCCACTTGCCATAGTTCTTTATTTTAACATGTCTGGGGATTGTTAGTTACCTTTCCTGGGATTCAGGGCTAGGGAAGGTAGAGGATATAGGATGAGGAGCCTAATTCCTGGTCTGCCGTGTCTTCTTTCTTAAAGTATGTTAAATGATTGGAAAAATATGCAATAGACAGTTCCAGGATTCCTCATGTTAATGAATTCCTTTGGCAGGTGTATCCCCTCACTTCCTTAGAACTATGACTATAATGGGGTTAAGCTCTCAAATTAGGTTCTTTATCTATTTTTCAAGTTTTCCAAAGTTAAATTGAAATGTCATTGATCTTAGATTAGTGGTTCCCAAATTTATTTGACCTACTGCCCCCTTCTCAGGAAAAAGTTTTTTTACTTAATTTCTTATTGGAAATCGGGCTGGAGCGATAGCACAGCAGGTAGGGCGTTTGCCTTGCACGTGGCCAACTAGAGTTCGATTCCTCCGCCCCTCTCAGAGAGCCGGGCAAGCTACCAAGAGTATCTCACCCGCACGGCAAAGCCTGGCAAGCTACCCGTGACGTATTTGATATGCCAAACACAGTACCAACAAGTCTCACAATGTTACTGGGCCCGCTCGAGCAAATCGATGAACAACTGGAGGACAGTGCTACAGTGGAAATCTGGCTGCTTTAAGTGAACAAAGAGAAAGCTTCCACCAATGGTACCCCAGCCATTACCCAGGTGACAGCCTCAGGCCATAAGAGCATGGAAAGAAAAAGACTGTGAGTTAGTGCTTAAAAAGTACTTGAAGAATTATATACAAAATTATGTATTTTAGATGTCGCTTGGCTGTAAAGTAGAAAGAAAACCATAGGGGGAAACTTTTTTGCCTGAAAGGTTGTTAATTCTGAATCTTTCAAGTATCAGTTCTGCTGATGATTTTGAGATTTTTATAAATTATTTGCAAAGAGCAGTATTTAAAGGTCACTTGTATGACTTATACTTAACTTGCTTGGATAGAAAGATGCCAAATTTATAAGGATAAACTTCAGGAAATATAAAATGACAAGAATTGGCAAAAATAATAACGGTGGGGGAGGGGCTGGAGTGATAGCACAGCGGGTAGAGCGTTTGCCTTGTATGCGGCCGACCTGGGTTCAATTCCCAACATCCCATATGGTCCCCTGATCACCGACAGGAGTAATTCCTGAATGCAGATCCAGGAGTAACCCTTGTGCATTGCCGGATGTGACCCAAAAAGCAAAATAATAATAATAATAATAATGATGATGGTGAGAAGAGAGTTTTACCAGTTCCTACTCAAGAAATGCTTTTTTTTTTTTGCCATTTTCCTCTGTTGTAAAATTAGAATAATAGTTATGGAACTTCACGTATTTTTAACATCCATTTTGTTATTTAATACAGACCTTTGTATTATAACCTAGGCTCCAAACAGGGAGATGGTGACTGTTTGGCTTTAAATATAGCACATTGGAAAACAAATAAATTGGGGCTTTTGCTCCTTCCCATTAGAGAAATCAGAGGGGGCAGCCTGGGATGGATGGTAGCTTCCTGAAGGTAGAAGGGGAACATAGAACAGAAAGTTGTCATTTTCCTTTTTCCCCATTTTCTATTTTGGGTCTGTAAGCAATACACAGAGCCGTGGGGCCACTTCCAGAGGTTACCTGCCTGGTCCCTGGCCTGAGAGTTCAGGGAGCAGCCCACTGCGGCAAGGGGTGTCACTCAGACCCAGCAGTTATGGGTTCCACTAGGGCTACCCCAACCCCGTGGGCATGGAACCCAGGGCCGACTAAGCACACACACATGTGGTGCTCGCATTTCCTTTGACCCTGGCCTCCCACTTTTTTTCCCCTTTTGGGAGAGTTTCTGCCAGAAGTTGCCCAAAAAATGTATGCATGATTTTATTGACTGGAATTCAGCCTTATGACAAAGGTGTCTGGAAATGTCATCTCTTTTCTGAGTGGTCATTTCTGTAGCTAACGGTCAGGGATTCTGTTATGAAGAAAGGAGAATGTGTTTTGTTTGGCATTTGCTCTACCGCAGTACCAGTGTATGTTTTCATGACTCTGCGTTTATGCATACTTTAACGAATCTGAACCCAAATAAACCTTGTTCTTTGTCAGTGAGAAAGATTTCACATTGTGGACTCCATCAGTGCTTTTGGCACGGGAATGTGCCCAAGACATCTTGTTGAAAATACTGTCGTCTTGTCACTGATGGGTCTTTACACATTTTTGCATTAGAGTAGCAAGTTTTTATTAGAACTGGTTTATCGGTTATCTTTCCTAATTGAATCCTTTTTTAGTTTCTAAGGAGAGTGAAAATATGAGAATAAAGGACAGTTTCTTTATGATCAATTGGTAGTACTAAGACTTATGGTAGACTTAAGTAAACTGTAGCTTCTTTATTATTATCCCTATAAATATTTAGTTGCATCATTTACAGATTTGACAGTTGTTACTGGACTCCAGTTTTCAGTTACTTCAGTAACTTTGATAAATTTTTTCATAATTTTTGCTTTGCTTTAAATTTCATCCTTTGTTAACTGTGTTAAAATTTCAGTTCTTAATTTTGAACCATATGGACCCTCATTTTCTTCATCTGGCATGACTGGACGAGAGTCTCCTGCTGGCGTTTCTCTTGGCTCAGATATATCTGGCAATAGCGCAGAGACAGGGCTAAAAGAGTAAGTTCCTTTTTTTTATAAAAATTGACAATATGGGTGTTTAAATGTCTTTAATTATTTCATTTGAAACCATTATGTTAATTTGCTTGTTTTAACATGATTTTCAAAAATTTTATTGTTTCAGTTGTCTTTACATAATTTTCAGAGAGAGAGACGTATTTGTCCAATTTATTTTAGTGTAATGCCTTAGAGGAGTTTCTAAAAGCTAAATTCTCCATGGACAGTTATTTTAGTATGTCCTTTTATTTAAGAGCTTATTTACCTTCAACTATAGGATAGAAGCTAGGGAGATGTCTCAAAGGACTGGAGCACATGCTTTGCATGTGAAAGCCCCCGGTTTGATTCCAGGATCACATCTTCAATGAGCACTGTCAGGAGTGGCCCCAAGGACCGAGCAGGGAGCAGCCCCTGGTGTGTAAAAATGAAACACCAGCAGGTCTGAAAAAAGCAAAAGATAGGATATATATCACTCTACACATAGTCATAGTGTATCACTGCTAGTCATTATTTTGAATAATTTTGGTCAATATACCGATGTGATATAAAGTGAAAAAAATTGACTTCTTGTCTGCGACGAAGTGTCATCAAAGAGTTAAAATGCTTTCTGAATAATGACAGCATTGTTGGAATAAATGATAAAGTCTCAAAGGTGAAGACTTTGAAAGATGACATTTGAATTTTGAGTTTTTATATTCATTAGGAAGTCAGTCATTTTGTGTTCATCTTTGCATTTGTCAGTCTTCCAATGAGATTGCTACAGGAACAATTGGAAGAATGACACATGGGTCATAAGGAATATGGAATAATATGCTGAATGGAATTGCATAGATTTAAATTCCCTTTCTTATCCTTTCCCCCCTTATTCTTGTTAAACTATTATTTGAATCATTTTAAAATGTAAGAGTGATATTCTAACACAAGGCTTCATACATGTGAAACATGTATCGTATCACTGATTACATACTGGTCCCAGTAGTTGTTCTTTATTTATTCATCTATTTGGATTTGGTGGCCACACCTAGCAGTGCTCTGGGATCACTCCTGTGGTGTTTGGGGGACTATACGTGGTGAAAGGGATTGAATCCAGGTCTCCTGGCAGCAAGGCAAGTGCCCTACTCACTGTACTATCTCACTAGCACATAGCAGTACAATGATTTAAAATGCTTTTTTAGACCATGACAGGGATCCTCAAATGAGCCAGTGCCAAGTACACATAGTTTTTGTATGAAAACAGTAAAGGGTGTATCAGTCTCCACTTGTGATTTTATTCGTCTGTCAAGATTCATAACTGTAACTTTGGGAACAATAGTGGGTGAGTCCAAGTTCTCAACTTGGCTCAGAACTTTTTTACTTAGATGCATTATGGTTGACTTTCTGGGACAACCTTTTGACTTGTATCACTACTTTGTCTTCTTCAACTCAGGTATTAACAGCAGCTAGCATTAATACTTTTTGAACTCACATTTTATTGTATTTTTAAAATAAAGTTACCTTTAAAATCGTGGAAAATGTAGATAGTGTTTACAATCAGGAAGCCTTTTGGATTAAAGCTTAGTTTACAAATGGAAGTGGATTTGAGTGATTTTATTTTTGACTTCCAACAGAATTTTAGTTTGCAGGTTTATGTAGGGTTAATTCTTCCATTAAGTAATAAATAACTTCTGGGACCGGAGACCCTTTGCTTTGCACGTGGCCTATGCTGAGTCAATTTCCAATATTGCATGTGGTCTCCTGAGTACCTATAGGAATGATCCCTGAGCACAGAGCTAGGAGTAAACCCTAGGTCCTTCTGGGTGTCGTTCTAAAACCAGTAAATGAAAAAAACTGATGTAGGGTCAGAGTGATAGTACAGGGTAAGGTGCTTGCTTTGCACACAGCTGCTCAGAATTTGTTCCTGGCACCCCATATGGTCCCCTGAGCCTTGCCAGGATGATCCCTGAATGAAGAGCCAGGAGTAAGCCCTGAGCAACACTGGGTGTGGCCCTAAAACCAAATAAAAAAAGAAGAAAGAAAAAAGATGAAAACGATTGTAGAAGGTTACTTTTGATGTTTAATTGGAATGAAAGATTTTTTAAATCAGGGTGCGGGGGGACCAATTTTATAGTACTTCTTTACTATAAAATACATTTGTTTAACTTATTCAAGCAATTGCATGAAAATGAAATGATCCAAAAATTTGTTGCCTAAGTTCTTTGGCTGTAGGGAAGGCTCTAGCTAAGTAAAATCCAGAGATTGCTCTTTGCTTCTGGCAGATTGACTCTGACATGAAAACTTCCCTAAAAAGTTCTGGAAATGGTGTGTTTTTAAAAATGCCTCAAGAGTGTATCTATTGAGAAGTCATGCTAATTTTCTTTATTTCATTATTAATCTTCTTAGGACAAATAGCTTGAAGATGGAAGGTATAAAGAAATTGTGGGGGAAGGAGGGCTATCTTCCCAAGAAGGAAAGCAAAACTGGTGAGGAAATTGACCCTCCACCCATTTCTCAAGAGGGCATACTAATGGAAAACATAGACCAAACTGTAACCAAAAAGACTCAAGAACTTACCCAGTCTAAAGAGGAGAAAGAAAAGCAGCTACTGGCATCATCATTATTTGTTGGGTTAGGGTCAGAAAGTACAGTCAGTCTGGTAAGTAACCTGTACCCCTTGTTTCATATTTTAAAACTGGCTCTGTATGGTAGGAAGTGGCTTCCTCAGCACCAGAGCCACCTGTTTTTGAAATTCCTGAAATTCCTGAAATATCGCATATCGTTGACTTATCCCAGTCTGGTGTTCTCTATAGACCAGTCAGCTGGGGCAAAGATGAGGGCACAAATACAGTGACAAAGGTAATCTGAGAATTGCCTCTGTGCACAGATAGGACAGATCTTAATGGGAAAGGGCCTTGAGAGAAATACTGCCTATAGTTCATAATATTTATGTGTCTCTGGAAAAGTTACTTCTTTTTTTTAAGGAGTACTGCTATTTATTCAGTGATTGATTAAGCTGATTGAGCTGAGCATGAACTCCACATTATTTTTTTATTTTTTTAATTCGATATCCGTGACCATTACAGAGGTGCTCAAAATTGGGTTTCAGTTATACCCAGCACCCATCCATCCACCAGTGCACATTTCACACCACTAATGTCCCCCATCTTCCCACCATCATCTTCCAACCTCCCACCCCCTACCCCCAGCCTCCCTCTGTTGGAGGCGCTTTCTTTCTTGCTCTCTCCTTATCTTTTTATACATTATGGTTTGCAATACAGGTGCTAAGAGGTCATGGTACTTGTTCAGGGCATTCGATATATATGTATTTTTTTTTTTTTACTTTTACTACTACATCAGTATGTATTCTTTTTTTTTTTTTTATTAGTGAAGCACCATGAGGTACAGTTGTAGATTTACAGATTTTTGTGCTTGGGTTTCGATTATACAATGATCAAATACCCATCCCCCCACCAGTGCCCATTTTCCACCACCATGGATCCCAGTATCCCTCTCACACCCATCCCTCCTTCCCACCCTGCCTCTGTGGCAGGGCATTTCCTTTTGTTCTCTCTCTCCTTTTGGCTTGTTGTGGTCTGCAAAAGAGGCATTGAGTGGCAGTCATGTTCAGTCCATAGTCTACTTTCAACATGCTACTCCCATCCTGGGAGGATCCTCCAAACACCCTTTATTTGGTGCTCTCTTCTCTATCTGAGCTGCCCTTTCCCCTAGGGCATTCGATATTTTTATTGGGACAGTAAGACTAGAATAGCTTTTCAATTGGCTGGCAGCTTTGGGGTTTGGATGTGACTGCCGAGACTTCCAGAAGTAAAGGGAGGTGGGGGAAGGTAGCCCATCCTGACCCCGAGAGAGCCTGGAGATTTCAGTCACAAAACCCACATACCAGAATTTTCAGCAGATTATATCTTGGTCTGTTCTGAGACAGTGGAGTGAGGCCAGTGGCATGGCAATGATTTTGGATTGTGGAAGCAAGTGGCTGCCTGGGGCTCTGCTTGGGCAGGCATAGGCCAACCTGCCCACCTCCGATTCACCCCTGTCTATTCAGCCATGCGTGAGTCCGAGTTTAACTTTGGCTTTTGATCTCTTTGGAGATTTATTTATGGGTCTTTGACGTAAGGCCGGTAGTAGAGCTTACAGGGTGGCACTGGAGTTGTTTTGTAGGGGTGACTGCCAGTGCTTCCGTGGGTATTGGGAAGTGAGGTGAGGTAGCCCACCCTAACTCTGGGAAAGCCTGGAGATTTCAGTCACAAAACCTGCATACCAGAATTTTCAGTAGATTATATCTTGGTGAGGTCCATTCAAAGACGGTGGAGTCAGATCATGAGTATGCTTGTGATTTTGGATTGTGGAAGCAAGTGACTGCTGGGGGCTCTGCTTGGGAAAGCCACTAGGCCAACTGCCCCCCTCTGATTTATGCCAGTCTGTTCAGCCATGGGTGGGTCGGAGATTAACTGTGGCTTTTGATCTCTTTCGAGAGCTATTACATGGTCTCTGAAATAAGGCCAATAAATGATCTTGTATAGCTGTGGGCGTGGCTCCCACATACCTAACTTTTGGCCATTTAATTTCTTGGTAAACTTGGTCCCAAGTTGTTGGGGTCCAGCCAGAGGCACAGCGACAATTTTGGGGTGTCAGAAAACCTGAAGGCACCACCTGGCTGCTGATGCACTCACCCCGCAGGTACAGGTTGACCTGTTGGCAGCACCATACCCCTGGAAAAGTTACTTCTTAAAATGGCATTTTAGAAAGTAAAATTAGGAATGAATTTAAAGGCCTAACAGTAGAATATTAATTTGAAATACTTCTTAACTACTGCAAATAAAAATTTGCACTATAAAGTTTAAAACTTAAACTGAACCAAAAATGCAGGATTTGCAACTTGTTTTAAGTTTTAAGAATATACATATGGGGATCAGGAAATGGCAGAGCATATGGTTCACATGTGGGATGCCCTGGGTTTAACTTTCTATACCAAATCCCCTCCTCACGCCTACACCCCGCCCCCCCCCCCCACACCCTAGCATTGTTGGGTATTATCTGATTGCCCAGAGAACCATCATGTGAGTCTCTTATAAAATAATTATAATTTATTTTATTTAAAAAACTGAATTATAAATCTGTGATATAACAAGTTCATAATACAGTTGTGTGGCATTAAATGTTCCAGCACCAATCCCACCATTAGCGTGCCCTTCCCTTTACCAATGTCCCTTCCCACCCACCACCCCAACTTGCCCCCTTGCAGGCACAAACAAATTTACTTCATATTGTTTGTTACAACCCACAGGCAAATAGAATAGATCCATATGAGTCAATTTGTGATAATTGTTATATCCCACAGTGATGTTACTGAAGTTACTGTCTGAGGATCTGGTTGGTACTAATTGAGGCTTCTGTGTTATTGTTTAGGCTCACTTATCCTGCTGGTTTTCTGTGGAACTTCCTATCAGATTTGCTCTGTCCTTCAGTGCTGATAGTACTATGAAATTTAGAGGTGTCTGGTCACACGGTCCAGGAACTAGAAAGCTAGACCTCTTTGGTGTCTTGGCAGTTTGATGAGGTTCAGTTGTGGAGCTAGGCCATCAGAGGGTGTCAGGCGTGGCTAGCTGTGAGGTGCTGTGCTTGCAGATAGAAGGGGAGTCTGCCTACTCTTATTCTGAGTAGACTCCCAGAGTTCTCAGGCCGGACCAGTCTACCTGGGAAGATTTGGTGAAACCATGTTCTTTTGAAGATATAATGGTGAGCTGTTTCTCTGCCAGCAAAGCCTATGATTACATTTTTTAAAAATAATTTTTCATAAGGTTGTTCACAATACTTGATTGCATTTAATATTCAAACACCAATCCCACCTCCATTACACCTTCCCACTACCATATTTCAAATGTTTCCATCCCAAACCCCAAACCCTGCCTCCAAAGCAAAACCAAAATAATTTATTTTGTATTATTTGTAATGAGTAATCTGCTAACAATGATCCAAAAAGGGTTTCTTAGAGGAAAGTGTGTGAAGATTATTGTATTTCATCCAGGAGCCTTTAAGCCCTTCTATAAAAGATTAGTAACATGTTGTTAAAGATTGAGCCTAGTGTGCACACACACACATACACACGCACATATATACACATATATATGTATATATATGTGTATAAATGTATTTCCCCCTAAGATTGCTTGCCTTCTACTTTACACCCCATCAAATGTGGTATGCTACTCTTGGTACGTTAGTGGGGTAAAGTATGAGGTATAAAGCATTCATGTGGCTGTGTGGTCTGGGAATATTCACATATGGGTGAGGCTTGTCTGAGCGTGTGGGGCCATGAGCATGGTGGCGGTTGAGTTCTGGAGGTTTTCGGCTGCAAGGGGTGATTCCATTGGGCTGGGAAGGGGAACTCACCTGCCCCCTTCACTTCCAAGTGAAACAGCCTAGTGTGGGGTCTGGAAGCATATCTGTGGCGTATATTATTGCATTTTAAAAGAGCATAAAAATATGTTGAAACAAAAAGAAATATATACAAAAACAAAACAAGAAATGATTCCCCCCCCCACCCGGTTTTTGACCACTCTTTGTTCAGGGCTTATGCCTGGCTCTGTGCTCAGGGATCACTCTTGGCAGGGCTTGGGGGACCATGTGGGGTGCCAGAGATTGAATTTGGATCAGCTGCATGCAAAGCAAATACCCTACCCACTATACTATCTCTACAGCCCGTAAGATGAGTTTTAGAATCCTATGCTGGTGTATTTTTATAGTAAAAAAATAAAAAAAATCAATGTAAGGCAGTTTTGGAGCTTCTTGAAATTCCTTGTAACCTGTCATTTTGTGGGCTGGTGAATTTACCTAGTTCAAAACTACAAGGAGACCTACATTTTTTTCCCCAGTTCTGTGGCACAGCAGTTCTTTCATTCTCTTCCTTTGATTGACTGTTCCCTGTCGACACTAGGCTAAATGGTGCGTCTTGCTACATTCTCCGTGCGCTCTACTACATTCTGCCTATCTCTCTTCCTCTCCCAGACCCAGTTCTGTCAGATTTGACATTTTGCCTTAGGAAGAAGCAGATATAGCCTAAAAGTGTCAATAAGAAATGGAACTTAATGTTGTCGGTTAAATCATGCATTAGGAGCAAAGTGACTCATCTGAGGCGTAGGCTGTGGTGCAGGTACCAGTGAGTGCTCTGGCGTCAGTGGGGAGGCTCTCGGTCCAAGTACAGTTAGGCTAAGGAGCCCTGCACTGGCCCAGTGATGTTGCAACCACTGGGCATGTTCAGTTCGTTTTCAGTTAATCATTCTCAGGAGAAGGAATAGTTGGTTGGCAAACTAATGTCAGGCTTTTTTTTTTTAAATCAGAAATTTAAGTCGTGCTGGATCCTTTTAGACTTTCTTTGCCCCCTCAGTACAGTACAAAGGAAAAAGTGTGTGTTTCCTTGTTTCACGGAACTCTGGATTCTGCTAAATGGTAACTAAGATGACATTCGAATATCTTCTCTCACCCCTTGATCCCAACATTTCCTCTGATGAGAGAGAAGCAAGAAGGGTTGGTACTGGCTAGTTATGCTCACTTATGCTCATGGCTACCTTTGAGTGGCTACTTTTCTCTAGCCACTTTCTTCCTGATTTTTCTAATGTTCAAGGTTCTCACATAGATTAAGACTCTACCAATGTATTTGTTTTTAGGTTTGTTGTCCATTTTGTATTTATTTTTAAGGTTGTGTCCATTTTACATAGCTCGGACTATGTAAAAAAAAAAACCTAAAAATAAGTTTGTTTACCTCCTACTTTGCTTTTAATTTTGCTCTCATTTTTCAAAGATCATTTGCTCAGCATAATGAATTATTAATTGACTATACTCTTAAGTATTTTAACAGAAATGTCATAAAAGTATCTTCAGTCTAATGAAGTAGTACCTAATTGACAGCTAATTAGACAGTACGGGAGAGAAATGAAGTAACTTGAAGATAATTAAATATAAACATACAAAAAAGGACAAGAGCATTAAAACGAAACCAAACAAAGCCAACCCAGAGCATCAGTGACCTAGAGACAATTTTGAGCCGTGCAGCATGTGCCTACTTCAAATTCCATGACTAGAGGAAATCAAAGTTTTTTGCATTCCTACCTTTTTTTCCCCTTGAGTGGGTTGTTTGTTTTTATGTCAATAGAATGCTCTTGTTTGATGAGTTCTGAATTGTGAGGTGTTCTGAAACCGAAACTCAGCTGTGGAGAGTTGGATGAAGAGTCTTGCTTGAGGGAATGGAAGTGGCGTGAAAGGAGAATTAGAATTCTGGTTGACTGGAACCACGTAGGGGTTGTCATAGCATTGAAACCGCCAGGAGGATGGTGGCATGAACTTAGACTAGTGCTCTGTGGTGCACTGCTGCCAGGTAGGACTCAGAGGGACATCTTCGTGCATAGATTTATAGACTGTTACTCATAGAGGTTCACTTAACAATGCCTGTTGTCTCCTGACACGAGCTAACATCAGCCATAGAAGTTTTTCCCATTGAGTGTTCTAATTAGCTAGAGTCAATTGACTTGAGGTAAAAGTTTTCCTTCTTGGTTTACAAAGTAATGATTGTTACAGATTACTGGCTCGGAGAGGGCCATTTCTGTATTGGAGGCTTGCTTAGTATCTACTGCATAACTCTGGAAACAAAACAAATGGCTAGGTTCACTATGCAGTTCTGTCCTCATCTATACTGGAATCCCACAGGTTTTTAAAATTGTTCATAATTGACTATTTCACCTTGTATCTTTTTCAAGTTTTATGTATTTTTAATGAGAAATAAAGACTTAGGTAATAGTTCAAAGTTCTGTAGCTGTCAGATTCTTAGGGCTTAACATTTTATTCATCTCTGGTTCTTGTTAGCCTATGCTTTGTAGATAAAATGTTAGTATGTAAGTAATACGAAATATTACTTGAATTTGAAATTACGGCAGTGTGTTTGAAACTCATGATGAGTAGAATAGTTTCTTTTCATATTATTGTATTTTATATTTACAGCTCGGAAAAACAGATACCGTCTCTCATAAATTCAGAAGGAAACCAAGAGCCAAGGACACCAAAAGTGGAGAAAACACCAGTGCTCAGGATATGGCCTGTTCTTCCTTTAGTTCTTCATCAAATGTGACTTATGAAGAAGATTATTATTTGGATGCCTTGCATGGTAAAGGAGGCAAAGATTTAAAGAAATTATCTCTCAGTTCAGAACTTCTGGATTCTGAGTCACTTGCAGAACTCCCCGTGGTTGAGAAACTCTCAGACTGCAGGCTCTCAGTACCTTCTTTGTTTGCTGATAGCAACATGGAAGTTTTTCACACTCCTGAATCCACTGCACCAGTAGGTACTAATGAAATCTCTTTAGTGTCATCTTTGTTGGAAGAAACAGCTGATCACATGTATTCAGATCTTATGGAGGTCTGTAGTAATGAAACCATATCAGTGTCTTCTTACAAAATTTGGAAAGACGATTGTTTATTGGTGGTCTGGACAGTTTCAAATAAGAGTGATTTGGAATTGGAAAGTGCTAACTTAGAAATTGCTCCTGCGGAAAATTTCAAGGTAAGACAACAAATGTTTCATTATTCCTGCCTTAAGTGAACAGTGGTTACTGAATGCTTCTGCTATTGATCTTCTGTTGTCTTTTACATTTCTTTCATATTCTTTCTTGTTAAGCAACACTACCAAAAAGTAAAAGTTATGACAGAATTTTATTATTTTGAGTGGGGCATAATCATTGAAACTTTGTTACGAGGAAATGTAACAAAGGTTGAGATGGAGAAAGCTAAAAACATAAAGTGAGTTTCTGTAGATCATACCAGTTAAGAATGCAGGCTTTGGGTCTGGAGACATGACTCAGTGGTTGAGTGATTGTCTTGCATGTGTGAGGTTCTCGGTTTAATCCCTAGCACTGGGGGTCAGGGGAGAGTGTAGGCTTACTTTCTCTCTCTGTTTTCCTCATTGGATGGGGGTGCACCTGGCAGTGTTCAGGGCTTATTCCTGGCTCTGTTTTCAGGAATCACTCCTGGAGGTGCTCCGGGGACCCTGTGTGGTTCCAGAGGATTGAACTGGGGTTGTCTGTCATGTAAGACTGGAGCCCGTCCCAAGATTGTGGGCTCTTGACTCAGACCACTGGACTTTGAATCTTGCTTCTGCAGCTTACTCATTTTATTATAGTGTCACCTTGTAAAGGGCAAGGATGGAGCTTAGCAGAACACATGTGAGACCTTGGATTCAATCTCCAGCAATACAAACAACAAACTCTTCTTTGGCTGAAAGAAGTAGTGAATAGGATGCTTGCCTTGTACGTGACTGACCTGGGTTTGATCCCTGGCACTACGTATGGTTTCCCATATGTGATCTCTGAGTGCAGAGCCAGGAATAATACCTGAGCACTGCTGAGTGTGACTTTAAAACCGAAACAAAACCCTTCTCCGATTTCATAACTAGAGAGATAATTCAGTGGACAGAAGTAGATGCTTTACATGCAGGAGGTCAGGGTTTGATCCCTGACACTGCTGGTCCCAAAAGCACCACCATAAGTGAAGTCTGGCTATGGAGCCAGGAGTAACTCCTGAGTACTAATGGGTATGACCTCCAGTTTTATTTATTATTATTATTATTATTATTATTATTATTATTATTTTAAAAAAGTGGGCTAGGGATGTTACTTGGGAGTAGAGTGCTTGCATTGTATGAGTCTTTGGATTCAATTCTTGGTGCCACCACCATACAAAAAAAATTTAATAAGGTCAAGTTATATAACTGTTTTATGGCTCTATTGCTTCATGCTTAAAATGAAAAGTGTAGTGTATGTGTTGCTGTGCCAAGTTAGTATCTTTAAAATAGTGCAGTGGGAGGCATACAATAAATGTTACGGTGTTGTTATTTTCACTGTGTATTTTGTTATCTCTTTTTCTTACTCTTTACATGTCTCGTTCAGGCTGTCATAAACACTGAGACCAAAACTTAACAAATCAGAACATGAGGGGATAAGAAGATTGAAAAATAAACGTGTGTGTTCTGTACTTCCCTTTCATTGACTTGTAATTCTATATTGTGGTAAAACAAATTCTAGGTTTTCCCTTCCATTTTAAGAGCCTGCTTTTGTGATTTCTGAAAGCATGTTTAGTTGAATTATTGTATGGAGGTCCTGGATGAATTTATAATAAGACTTGACCAGTAGGTCAGTATTCTGCAAAATTGATCCATTTTTTTCTGTGGGAAATAATGTGTTGGTTGTTGTATTACCTGGGCCTCTGAGGTGTGCAGAATTTCCTTACTCTTTTTTTTCTCTTTTTTAACCATTTCCCCCCACCCCTCCCGCCTTACTCTTAATTAGCGTCTCCCATGCTGAAAGTAGACTATAGACCAAACACGATTACCACTCAATTCCTCTTTTGCAAACCACAGCACCCAAAAGGAGAGAAAGAACAAAAGGGAGTGCCCTGCCACAGAGGCAGGGTGGGATGGGGGATGGCGCGTGGGAGGGAAACTGGGATCTTTGGTGGTGGAGAATGGGCACTGGTGGAGGGATGGGCACTCGATCATTGTATAACTGAAACCCAAGCACAAAAAATAGTAAGTCTACAACTGTACCTCATGGTGTTTCACTAATAAAAAAAAAATTGCCAACCAAAAAAAATAAATAAATAAATTAGCGTCTCCCGAAGTGGATAATACTGTACCCCATGGGATGCTGAAATGATTCAGTGGGGTTGGTCATAATAAAATGATCCAGTGGGAGAGGAAACTTTGAATTTGATTGTTTAAAGGAAGATAGATTTCCAAGGGGACATCTTGTGATTTTTTTTCCTCAGAAGGGGGAGATAGACTAAATGTGGGAATCTCTGCTCTAGGTATTCATTAAAACCATTGTGGAACTTACAAAATAACACAAAACCTGCCCAATTTTTGAACTCTATCACTAGAGTTAAAGTCAAGGTGGAAAATGAAGGGCGGATGCCTGTACTTATTTATTTTTTTAACTCTTCTAGCTTTAAAAGTCTGGTGCTTGCCAGTGTTGAGAGTTATAAATTTAATTATCCTTTTTCATTATTGTTAAGTTTACAGAGATTTTATTATAATCTCATTTGTTCTGTACGTCAACATTTTAAATTTAATTTTTAAACTTTTGACTCCGTACTATTATTTTGTCATTATTTGTGCTAAAGAATTTTTCTCAAGTAAAGTCACCTTCATAATGGGTTTTGTAATTAACACGTCACAGTAGTTTGTTTCTGTACCCTTCAGTTAAATGAAATGTTGGATTTCATCTTCATACACATTTCTCTAAGGAAACTTTTTGGGATCACTTTCAGCGGTTCATTCATAACAAACAACACAAAATGAATTATTTCGGTTCTGCTTTGGGTTGGAGCGATAGCACAGCGGGTAGGGCGTTCGCCTTGCACACGGCCAACATGGCCGACCTGAGTTCGATTCCTCCGCCCCTCTCGGAGAGCCCGGCAAGCTACCGAGAGTATTCGATATGCCAGACACAGTAACAACAAAGTCTCCAATGGAGACGTTACTGGGCCCGCTCGAGCAAATCGATGATCAACGGGAGGGCCTTTACCTTTACCTTTACCTTTACTGCTTTGGGATAGGGGTTGGGGCTCAGGATGGAAACATACCAAATACGGTGTTGGGAAGGTGTTATGGTGGTGGGATTGGCATTTGAATATTCAGTGTAATCAAATATTATGAACTACTCCATAAAAATTATAAAAATGAAATGTTAGGGGCTGGAGCGATAGCACAGCGGGTAGGGCACTTGCCTTGCACATGGCCGACCCAGGTTCGATTCCCAGCATCCCATATGGTCCCCCGGGCACCGCCAGGAGTAATTCCTGAGTGCTTCAGCCAGGAGTAACCCCTGTGCATTGCCAGGTGTGACCCCCCCCAAAAAAAATTGAAATGTTAGATTTCATAGAATAGTCTGTGTTAATGCCCTTCTTCAATTCTTTTTTTTTTTTTATTTGCAGATCACTGAGCAACCTGAGTGCTGCTTGCCTGAAAGAGAGACAGGAAGTACCACAAGCTTTCAATACAGTATACAAATGGAAAAGGCTTTCACAGATGAGACTCTTTCTGGCTTTATAAATTACCAAATGATGGATATGCATCCTGTTCAGCTTGAATTTTCATTAAACTTATTAATGCTAGATTTTATTAGGTAAATATTTTCTAAAATTTTAATTCAAGTTATTTATTCATTCATTGGGCTGGAGCAGTAGCACAGCGGGTAGGGTGTTTGCCTTGCATGCGGTCGACCTGGGTTCAATTCTTCCATTCCTCTCAGAGAGCCCGGCAAGCTACCAAGAGTATCCTGCCTGCATGGCAGAGCCTGGCAAGCTCCCTGTGGCATATTCAATATGCCAAAAACAGTAACAACAAGTCTCACATTGGAGACGTTGCTGGTGCCTGCTTGAGCAAATCGATGAACGACAGGAGGACAGTGCTCAGTGGACAGTGCTACAGTGCTATTCATTCATTCAGCAAATATTTATTAGGCCTCTGAACAGAGCCATGGTGCTGTGTGCTAGGGATATAACGGTTCAAAACTAGACACAGTTCCTACCTCTAAGAATGTCTGTCTTTTCTAAGAGAAGACTTTGAATAATCACATAAATACTACACAATTGTGCTGTAATTTTCTTCACATCACATAATTTATGATGTGAAAATAAATGTTGTGATGAGAGGCTACAATATATGAGAGGCTACAATAAAGAGTCTCATCTGTGAAAGACTTTTCCATTTGTATACTGCACTGCACTGTCCTCCCATTGTTTATCGATTTGTTCGAGCGGGCCCAGTAACGTCTCCATTGTAAGACTCATTGTTCCTGTATTTGGCTTATCGAATACTTCATGGATAGCTTGCCAGGCTTTGCCGTGTGGGCGAGATACTCTCAGTAGCTTGCTGGGCTCTCTGAGAGGAGTGGAGGAATCGCGGAGGAATCGAACGCGGCTCAGCTGGCCGGCCATGCGCAAGGCAAATGCCCTACCGCTGTGCTATTGCTCCAGCCCACATTTGTATACAATATATACAAATATATACATTTGTATATATATAAGTATGTATAATACAGGACCTGATTTGAATTGAAATTGGTAACTGATCTTGGAAAACTGAAATAAGTTCAGAGATTGTGCATGCATTTTTAAGCTCTTAAGGTTTGGGGTTTTTATTTGTGTATAACAGGTCCTTGAGTAAGGTTTTTTTCAATAGTGCTCTATATAACACTGAGAAAAAAAAATCCCAGCTGATGTTGAAAGAAGTGATGTTATTCAAATTGTATCATACTGCTTTCAACAACTGTTTTTGATTAATATTGCGATTTCCAGGAGCTTTAATGACATGGCATTAGAGAGTACTTAATTGTATATGATATGGGTAGCGAGTGTTTCCTTATCCCCAAATCTGAGCTGTTCATGAAAGAAAAGTGTTACATTTACTCAGGAATTACTTGGTGAAATTGTACTGAAATGACTGATACTCAAGAAAAGAGAGGGAACTAATTTATTGAAAAGATAGTACTGTGGGGCTGGAGCAATAGCACAGCAGGTAGGGCGTTTGCCTTGCACGCGGCCGACCTGAGTTCGATTCCCAACATCCCATTTGGTCCCCTGAGTGCCGCCAGGAGTAATTCCTGAGTGCAGAGCCAGGAATAACCCCTGTGCATTGCCGGGTGTGTCCCAAAAAGCAAAAAAACAAAATAAAAAAGATAGCACTGTATAGCACTGTCTTCCCATTGTTCATCGATTTGCCCAAGCAGGCACCAGTAATGTCTCCATTGTGAGACTTGTTACTATTTTTGGCATATCAGATGTGTCACAGGTAGCTTTCCAGGCTTTGCCGTGCAGGCGGTATACTCTCGGTAGCTTCCCGGGCTCTCCGAGAGGGGTGAAGGAATCGAAACCAGGTTGACTGCGTGTAAGGCAAACGCCCTACCCGCTGTGCTATTGCTCCCGCTCATTGAAAAAATATTTGCAATTAAAAACATTTTATCTCTCATTTTCCCCATCTTTTTTTTGTCTCCCTCAATTGTCCTCAGATAAACTTAGTTCTGTTATGTCAACTCACTTGTCTTTTTGTTCTGTTTATCAGTTTCATATCCTTATATCACTTATATAAGTAAAAATCATCTAACACCTATGTTTTTATTCTGACTGTTTTGCTTCACTTATTTTGGATAGCAAAATTTCACCACATTTTTTTTTAAGACCGCATAGTTCTCCATTATATAAATCTTTATTCAGTCATCCAGTAAGAGACACTTTGGTTATTTCCAGCTATGTAAATAAGACATTTGCAGTTTAATAATATTTTTATGCTTTCAGTATTTTGGGGTTGGTGAATGATGCAGTCTAATGACATTGAGTTTAAAAATAAATTTTGTGGGACTTCAGATAATTATGTTGATTCCCATACGTAATTTGAAATCGTTTGTATTTGTTTATAATCATTTCATTTTCTTGGACTAAGTCTAACTTTAAAATTCTTTCCAGACCATTAAAAATCTCAACGGAAGACTTTGGCAAACTCTGGTTATCCTTTGCAAATGACGTGAAGCAAAATATCAAAATGTCAGAATCTCCAGCTGCTCTGCCTTCTGCCCTAAAGACCCTGCAACGGAAGCTGAGACTTCATGTTGTTGAAGTTATAGGTCCGTAGAGTTATGAAAAGGCAATCCTGTGTGTTTATAGGGGCTTTCTCACAGTCAGCTCTTGCAAATGTCTGATTTCGTAGAGCTATACTTTGTTATCAGATGGAGTTGTTGAGGCTTGCATTAACATAAACGTTTTGGTGGTAAATAGAATAAAATTTACCTTTTATAACTTTCTTTGGGGGTAGTAAAATAGTTTTATTTAAGAAATAGAGAAGAGAGAGAGAGGGAAACCCATACAGTAAAAGAGAAAAATTGTGACCCAACTTAGGATGTAGGCTGTTACTGAGTGGAATGCTTTAATTATTTTTAAATGTAAAATTTAGTAGCATTAAGAACTTTAATGTTGTATTGGTATCACTGTGTCATCTTCAAAACTTTTTCATCATTCCTAGCTGAAACTGTATCAAATACTTCCCATGACCTCTCCTGCTCCAGTCCTTGACCTTTTTTCCTTCTTTTTTTTTTCCTATCAATTTGGCTACTCATAAGTAGAATCATACAGTAATTGTTCTTTTGGGGGGATTTGGGGGGTGTCTTGGGCACACCTGGCTCAAGGCTTATTCCTGGCTCTGTGCTCAGGGATCACTCCTGGTGGTGCGTGGGTGACCATATGGGGTTTTGGAGATCAAATCCAGTTTGGTCGTTTGCAAGGCAAATGCCTTACCTGCTGTCCTATTGCTCCGGTGCCCAGTACTTGTTCTTTCATAATTGGCTTATTTCACTTAGTATGTCTATATCACCTATGTTGTATTGTGCTAGAATTTTCTTTTTTAAGTGCAGATACTACTTGTGTTAACATACAAACATACAGAATTTTATCTGTTCATCTCACAGTGGACACTTGGTAGCTTCTACCTTTTGACTGTTCTGTAGATGTACAAACATTCTTTTATTATATATCTAGAAGTAGAATTGCCAGAGCATATAGTAATTTGATATTTAATTTTTTGAGACACTGCCATGTTGTTTTCCAAAGGAACTATTCCATTTATCTTCCTGCTAGCAATGCACAAGGCCACCAGTACTTGTTTAGGTATTTAGGTAATTGCCACCCTAATGGATGCAGAGGGAGGATCTAACAATGCTTTTGGTTTGCGTTTCCTTGATCATCAGTGATGGGGAATATCTTCTCATGTGCCTGTTGTATCTTCTTCAAGAAATGTGTGTTGCCGCCCTTTTGTGTTATGAAATAGAAAATCTGTTTTGTTGCAGGCAGTGAAGGACTTTTGGCCTGTCAACGCCTCCCATCCGTCCCCTGCTTGTTGCACTTTCGAGTTCACGCTGACACGATGAGTCTTTGGTTCAGATCCTCCTGCGCTGCTCTTCCCGACTACTTACTGTGTCAGTGTCAAAAGGTGATGGAGGGATCCTAGCACAAGCTCGGCGTAGATTTCATTCTGTCCAAGTAAATGGTTTACATAGATAAACTTATTTACCAAAGTAAAAAGAACTCATGGTACTTGTAATTAAAATGGGGATAAGTTTAAGTTGTGATTTTATGTGTCTTTGATTTCTGATCAAGAACGATCCCCAAGAAGCTATATCTCTTATCTTTTACTCAGGATTGTACAGTTTGTTTGGGTCCCCCAAAAGTGACCTGAGCTAATGTTATAAACTGCTAATGATTTATATATCTCTTAGTGTAGAGTGACTAAAAATATTTATTTTGTTATAAATAATTTTATAGCAAATATACTCTAGTGCTAGTTCGTTTGTCCTAAAACTTAGTCTCAGTTCTCTACATTAAAGGAGAAGAGACATGGAGTTGATAATCCCAGACCTAATTCATGTTTGGCTTTGGAATGTTTTTTGCTAGGCAAATCATTACTTTCAATTATGTTTTGCTTAGGTCATTGTGAAATACACACTAAGAGTTAAGCGAATCTGTAAGCATGTTGTATATTGGCAGGGGCGGGGTGGGGGAATCCAATCTATGATACAATTTTTACTCTAACTTGTAATACCATTGCATATAATTTGGCTGAAAAAATGGACCATTTTCCCTTTGCATTTATTTTAAAATTCAAAGTGAGTTACTGTAGTCTTATTTTAGAAGCTCAGAGCCATTTACAAATATTGTCCTAGAGAAACAAAACCCTTAAAAGCACACAGTACTAAAACAAACAGGTAGAAGGGATCTTTTTAATTCTGGAAGATCTTTCAGTCAGTTACCACTGATTTTGGAGAATTTAAATTCTGAATAGAGTATGAATGGCAAACCATCTTTCTTGGCCTTGGTAGCTGTTAGTACCCAGCTACAACCGAAGCAGTGACTGTTTATGCATACCATAGAGGTTCTGCAGTAAAAGATATTCTCATGGCAGTGCCATTGTGGCTCTGTTGGAATTGTTATCAGTAAAAGAAGAGGTGAATTTAATTATGAATGATGGACCATAATTTTGAAATTGTACATTAGTGTTAAAATCTGAAAATAGTATTTTATAAAACCTTATGGTGCTGTGGAAAAATATTTATTATTTCACTTTTTCTGAAACTTCACCATGGAGTCTATTCAGGTAATATCATTTTTAGTCATTGCAGTTAATGCTGTGGATCATTGGTACAGTTTATAATGCAGGTGTGGGGTTCTAGTTTTCGGTTGTCTCATTAACTATGACTCTTCAAAATGCAAAGGACATCCTCTGGAGCTGATAGATTTCTCTGGTAATCTGTGTTTAGACTGTTCATCCCTAAAGACAAAAGCAGTATTTAAAAACTAATTTTTTAAGTTCCTCATTACAAGATATATAATGCCTTGTTAATGTCATGCGTTTAAATAACATACAGTAGAACTTGCCATAAGAGCATGGTAGTGACTGCTTCCTTTTGTATGGAAGAGTTCCATCCTCAAGTTCCCAGCAGTGTCCTGATAAAGGGAATGTGCTTTCTCGGTGATGGTGGTGGACACTGGTGGCTAGCCTTATCAGCTTCTTCTTTATTCCTACCTCGGTCAGCAGCTCCACCACCCACCTGATTCTGCTGCTACTCTGACAATGAAATAGCTTGTGCCCTCTTACTTTGCAAAGGAATGCAGCTGAGAGCAGAGGAATTTCCCGAGTGTTGGGTAGGCTTACTTGCCTGTATTCACACGACCACACAGACTGGGTTGAGTGAAGTGCCCAGCAAGCAGATGGACAGCTGTCTGAGAGAGCTTGTAATGAGCTGTTCTGCTTTGTTACCAGGGTTTTCAGAAGGGGCAGTAGCAGTGCTCCTGAGAGACAAGCTTGACCCACAGAGCTGGTGTTAGTGGGCGACCTCCAGATCTGGGAACATGATTTTGGGTCTGCCAAAGGGAACCTGGTGTCACTTTCTGCTCTTTCTAGACACATTACAAAGTACATTAACAGGGTTTCTACTGAAATGTTTAGTAGAGCGTTTACAATTTTTATATTTTTATGATTTTAAGAACATGGAATAATAACAAGAAAGTAGATTTTACTAACTTTAGGGCAGTATCTTTTCTGCTCAGACAATGCAATGTTTTAAGTTCTAAATCAGGCATCAACCAACTCTTTTTTTGCATTGTAGGAGATGTGACTTTAAAGTTAGGAGAATGATTTTACATTATAGCCATAAATTAGTCAACTGAAGGAGCAATATCTGGAATAAGAGATGTGCGGGGGATACTCGCTGTGTGAGTAGTGGGCTGGGTGTCTGCCTGAGGATGGAGGTGGTAGCAAGTGTGAATCTGGGGGAGAGGAAAGGGACAGAGGAGTGCCCTTGGGGCAGGGGGAGGGAGAAGGGCCAGGCTTCCGGCTGCACAGTGGATGAGTCAGCCGTTCCTCAAGAGTAGCAGGCTGGAGTCAGGGTCCCTCTCTCAGAGAGCCAAGTAGTCACCAAGCCCTAAAGTGCCAAGCACAGATGCACTGCAGAGGAGCATGACTTTAAACAATGTTCCGCTGTCAGCTATGGAGACCACTGTAATTTAAGTGCAGTATTTCTTTTTTCACTTTTTGTTGGACTATTTTAAAACGTTGAGCTTTCTTTGTCTTAAGGTTTTATGGATAAATGTGATCTTTGTCTCCTGATTGTGAGTTACTTAAAGTGCACTGAACCTGTTCTTCAATGTTTTTGCTGTATTGAGATTTTAGGAGGTAGAGATGCAAATGAATAACAACAGGCATTAATCACCTTATTTTGCAGTTCTGTAATTAAAAAAATTGGTTAAACATGTAATAAAACACAAAGTGATCTTTATTGTTCTTTGGTGTATATATTCTTTATTACCAAAATAGTTAAAGAATGTTTGGTACCATTAGTAATCTTGTAGGTTTTGCTAAAAAGAGCAAGAGCAATTAGAAAGGGATGAATAGAATAGTTTGCCTTTTACAGCCCTAAAGAATCTGGCCTGTTTGGTAAGTATATGCTTGTATTTCTGCTTGAACCTCAGAGGGAACTATGGATTTCAGGCAGGTTGGTGTTTGAATTGACCCTCCTTCATCCCTACCTGGCCGGAGCCTCAGAGCAGAATGTGGTGTTTTTATAATCCCTTCCTCATACAGTTGCCTTGTGATATACGGTAAGTCAATTAGAGGCTTAGTGACTAGATTTCTTTCTCTGTGCTATGTATTCAAAAGCAAATGAAACTAGAAATGGTGGTTAAATCTTACTGATTTATACCACTTGTTCACTGTAACATATAGCAGACAAATGTTCTGAGACATGAAGGAAGCTTCATCTTTGATGTTATCAGTGAAAGAAGGGATTAAATGTATCACTCCCACTGGAGTAATTGAAAAGAAGTGGCCACCTGAAAGGAGGGGTGACCTGTAGCCAAAGGGGGAGGGATCACGGTTATGTGAAAGTTACTTGTTTATGTGTGCCTAACAGGAGAGCATAGCCTTGCACTGTTTGGAACCCTGTGTATTTTTTTAGTCATTTTGCTTGGCACTGATCAGCAGTTACTTGGTTTACTGAATGGATAAAGATACCCGACTTCTTAAAATAGTAACCTGAGACCAGGTGCTATCCAAGGATTGAGTTTAGCAACCTTGTGGCTCTCCCAGAAGTATTGAAAAGTGGTCTGATCTGATTTATAAATATAGATCAGCAGAATAGGATTCTGGTTTTTTTTTAAAAAATAGTTTTTGTCAGCTTTTACTTGACAAAATGTGGAAGAGATAAAGCATAAGAGCTTGATGTGACTCTTGTTAGCCTGTGCGAACTTGCCCAGCTACTTAAGAGATCTCTGCAAATATCGAGTGGTTCCAGATATAAATGACCACTTGGAGACGGGGACTTTCTTATATTATGGCAGGAGTTCATAAAGTTTAGTGATCTAAAAGTCCTTGTTCTCGGGGCTGGAGCAATAGCACAGCGGGCAGGGCATTTGCCTTGCATGCAGCCAACCCGGATTTGATTCCCAGTATCCCATATGCTCCCCCAAGCACTGCCAGGAGTAATTCCTGAGTGCATGAGCCAGGAGTAACCCCTGTACATCGCTGGGTGTGACTCAAAAAGTAGTACTGTTGTTCATCGATTTGCTCTAGTGGGCAACAGAAACGTCTCACAACAAATTCTGAGACTTACTCTTTTTGGCATTTTGAATACATCACGGGTAGCTTGCCAGGCTCTGCCATGCGTACGGGATACTCTCAGTAGTTTGCCGGGCTCTCCGAGAGGGGTGGAGGAATCGAACCCGGGTCAGCTGCATGCAAGGCAAATGCCCTACCCGCGGTGTTATCGCTCCAGCCCAACTCAAAAAGTGAAAAAAAAAAATAATAAAAGTCCTTGTTCTCAGAAAGAAGCAGTGGGCATTTGTTAAGGTAAGTTAAAGGTAAGTAGTGTAAGTAGTTTATCAATATGTTAAGATTTATGTGTTAAGTTAGCTTCACCTATTTTTTAAAAAAGTGATCTTGGGGCTAGAGCAATAGCACAGCGGATAGGGCCATTACCTTCCATGCAGCCAACCCGGGTTCGATTCCCAGCGTCCCATATGATCCCCTGAGCACCGCCAGGGGTAATTCCTGGGTGCAGAGCCAGAAGAAACCCCTGAGCATCGCCAGGTGTGATCCAAAAAGCCAAAATAATAATAATAATAATAAATAAAATAAAAAAGTGATCTCTGTGATAATGAGAAACATTACTAAGCTCAGCAGCATCAGAAGTATTGGAGAACACCCTCTTCAGTACCGGAGCAGGAAAAGGAGTTATTTAAAAGGAAATGTATCTCGCATGCATCATGCAGAAATTTGTGGTAGGAGTTTGACTCATGGTAGGAGGGTACCCAAAGAAAGTCCGGAAAACCCTGTGTACTTTGAAATGTAGCCTGGGAGGCTGGAGAGATAGGTCGGGGTAAGGTGATTTCCTTGCGAGGGGCCAACCTCAATTGGGTCCCTGGCAGCGCATATATTCCTTGAGCACAGAGGGGCATTGCCCACCCTCTCTGCCCCATCCCCAGTGAGACCTGGGTACAGAGAAGATCGACCTTGGAGTGGGGAAAGTCCAGATGATCCCAAACAGCATGAGTTTCCTGAAGCAGCTATAAAGTTTCAATGGTTATGGCTAGACTGTGGGCGTCTTTCCAAGGAGAGAAATCAATTTCCTTTGGTTATTTTAAACCACTTTCCTAAGTGGATGAGTATTTTTCCTTCCTCACAATATTAAATTGGCAGTACCACTAAGTGGCTGACTCACGAGGTTTTTCCCTGATAGAGCAGGCAGGCCATAGGCCGATGGTAGAACATGAGCCTAAGTATCATTTATGTTTCAATAAGAAAAATACTAAGAAATCTGTTTTAGTGCATATCTCCATTCTTTTTTTTTTATTTTTAAATTTTATTTTCGTAAGGTTGTTCACATTAATTGATTGCATTCAATATTTCAGCTCCAGTCCCACCACCATTACACCTTGCCACCACCATTATTTCGAATTTTCCCACCACCACTCAAGCCTGCCTGCCTCAGGCAGATGCTAGATAATTTATTTTCTGTTGCTTATTATGAACGTCATGAGAGGTCGCGCGGCTGAATTCTAAAATTGTAAATGATTGGGGTCCGGAGACATCTCTGTAGTGAGATAATCCATTCTGAGATTCATTTGAGTCTGGATCAAGGCAGTTGATGCGCTTAAAAGGTACTCGGAGGCAGTTTGTGGGCATGACAGCCAGGACCCCCGAAGGGTGGGGAGACGGGAAGGAATGGCTATCCCCGCCACTGCCATGTGGCCTGGAGCCTTCAGTCCCTGGTTTCATGTACCTTGGTTTTTCTTCTGGAAGTTTGTGGCCACTGGGGTTCAATTGGAGTGGGCAGAGAGAAGACACTCACTCCACCTGAGGTGCCCCAGTGAAATCAGCTCAGCACGGAGTCTGGAGAAATCTCTGGTGAACTGCTTTCTTAGAGATTCAATACTGACTCCATATCTCCATCCTTTACATGGCAAATAGAGGCAATGGGGTATATATTCTTGGATGGGAGTGGGGAGTCTAGTTTGAATTGCTACTACACCATTTAATGAAAATAAGGGCACAAGTGATGCCTAGAATAAGCTAGTCCGCACTGATAAGAGATATCAAGGTATGAGTATTTTTTTTTTTTTATCTAGGTTGACTGATTAATAGTCTTTTTGTTTTGTTTTGTTTTTTTGGGTCGCACCTGGCAATGCTCAGGGGCCACTCCTGGCTCTACACTCAGGAATTACTCCTGGTGGTGCTGGGGGGACCATATGGGATGCTGGGAATCAGACCCAGGTTCAGCTGCATGCAAGGCAAATGCCCCACCCGCTGTGCTATTGCTCCCAGATGATTAATAGACTTTTAGAGTTAACTGTGAGCTGTGGGAAAGATGAAATGGTTTGGTTAGGGGGCCACACCCAGCAATGCTGAAGGGCTCTTGCAAGTTCAGTGCTGGCTGGGAAAGGGGGTGAGAGGGGGTGGTCTCCTGGTGGTGCTTGGAGCCCATGCAGCGCCAGGAATCAGATCCAAGCAAAGCATGTGCGCCGACCTGTTGAACTATCAGAGGAAAGGATCAGAATCAAATACTGAGCTCAGTCCTCATAAACAGAAGTGATGAGTGTCTTAATCTTCACAGAGCCCCCTGAGGGCGCATTCAATTGGGGGAGACTTAGAGTGGAAGCCCTGGAGAGCCGTGGGTAGCTCTGGTGATGGAAAGAGCAAGCAGATTGGAACTTTTCACCTACTGACCTCTGGAAAAGGGAAAAGGAAAAGGAAGCATAGAGGTGAGGCAGTGACACAGTTGCAGTGAGTTTGAGGCCCTTCCAGACGTTGCTCTCATATATATCATTGCTCTTGAAATGGGGTAGTCAGGTTGAGAATTTAGTATCAAATGAACGCTGGATTTGCAAAAGAGTAAAATACTAATCAATTTTGCATTTTAGATGTTGTTTACATATATTATTTATTTTTTCAAGAATAGAATGTATAACTTTATTGATATCCTCACCCTTGTTGATACGTTATTTGAGTTAAATATTTGTTTTTTTGCACAAATATAAATTTTTGTGGAAGGTACATAGATGACATATATATAATTGTGTGATAATTGCAACAGAAATACTACTACTTATATAACAAAAATATTTTTAATTTAAATATTTAGTACCATAGTAAAGCTGTAGAACAACAGAAAAAAATTCCTGGTCTCAATTTTGCCACAGATGTCATTACTATTTTGCTAATAAGGTTTGTAATATTTTTTTTATTAGTGAAACACCATGAGGTACAGTTGTAGATTTACAATTTTTTGTGCTTGGGTTTCGAGCATACAATGATCAGACACCCATCCCTCCACCAGTGCCCATTTTCCACCACCATGGATAATATCCCCCCACCCCCATCCCCCCATCCCCCCCTGTCTCTGTGGCAGGGCAATCCCCCGTGTTCTCTCTCTCCTTTTGGGTGTTGTGGTCTGCAAAAGAGGCATTGAGTGGCAAACATGTTCAGTCCATAGTCTACTTTCGACATGCATCTCCCCTCCTGGGAGGATCCTCCAAACACCCTTTATTTGGTGCCCCCTTCTCTATCTGAGCTGCCCTTTCCCCTAGAATGCCCGGCTGGCCTCTAAGCTATGGAGTAATCCTCCTGGTGCTGATCTCAGCCATTCTTGGGTATTAATCTCATATTTTGTTTCTTTAGATCCCCCAGATGAATGCAATCTTTCTATGTCTATCCCTCTCTTTCTGACTCATTTCGCTTAGCATGATACTTTCCATTACATATATTATTAACTTAGCATCATTATTTTA